CGAGGAAGAGATGGACCTGGGAAAGAAGCTGAAACTGCTCAGCATGGGCCTGAGAGAATACTCACGGGAGGAGCGAAAGAGGGTGAAGGCGACGGTGCAGCACCTGGAGGTAGTGGTGGAGCGACTAAGGCACAAAGTGATGCGATATCCGGGAGACAAGAGAGCACAAAACAGGTTGATGCGGAAGGAGGCGCACCTAGGGGCTTATCTCCAGAGCTGCAAAGATCGGATGCAAGTGTTAGCGGGAATCAAGGTGGAGCTCACCGGAGAAGTCCCATCGCCATACTTGTCGGCCAGAATCAAAGTACGGAAGAGACGGACGGTGGTGCGCGAGATCTCTCACCATGGAGTGGTGTACCAGGGGACAAAGGAGGTGCTGAAGGCGGCAGCGGACCATTTCAAAGCTGCTTTTGGCGAGGTGCTACCAGAGGAAGAGGTGGACTGGGGGACTTTCTCGGAAGGCGCCAGATTCTCGGAGACGGATGCAGCGCTCCTTGGGGCAGACTGGACGGAGGAGGAGGTCAAGTAGGCGCTGGTGAGCCTCCCGAAGAGGAAATCTCCCGGGCAGGACGGCTTGCCCGCGGAATATTTCATTCTGCACTGGGATCTGCTGAAAGCACATGTGATGAGTTTTGTCGGGGAATTCGCCAGGAAGGCGAGTATGCCGGAGAGCTTATCGACAGCGGTGACAGTCCTGCTGCATAAGAAGGGGCCAACAGATCAACTGGGGAACTACCGCCCCATCACACTTCTATCAGTCATGTACAAGGTGGTTACAAAAGTTATGGCTACAAGGCTCAAAAAGGTGCTGGGCAAAGTCCTGTCAAAAGAACAGCACGGCTTCTTACCGGGGAAAAGCCTGGCGGACGCAGTATCAGTGGTAGCGGATGCGGTGGAGGCAGCGAACAGCGGCAAGGAAGATTGGCTACTGCTGCTGGTAGATTTCCAGAAGGCCTATGACACGGTCTCGAGGGTCTTCCTTTTCAGGGTCATGAAGGAGCTGGGGGTGCCTGACAATTTCATCGGCTGGACCAGGGGCCTGCATGCAGACGCAGGGACAAGGGTCATAATTAATGGGTGGTTAAGCGACAGGGTGGAGATGAACAGAGGGGTCAGGCAGGGGTGCCCACTGGCGCCATACCTGTTTCATTGCGCACTCGAGCCGTTATGCAGAGCCACGCAGCGGGAGAATCTGGGCATCGGACCGGTCGGGAAGGAGCCGCTTGCATACGTGGGATACGCCGACGACACATCATTTCTGCTGAATGGAGAAGCCCAACTGCGGAAGGTGGTGGAGGTCTTGGGCACCTTCGGGAAACACTCAGGGCTGAAGGTGAATTGTGAAAAGTCAGTGGTGGTACCGCTGGGAAGCAACCGGGGAGAGCCGGCGCCGGCAGACGTCTCGTATAAATGGTCGGAGCAGGGAGAGCCGGAGAGGCTCTTGGGGGTGTGGATAACGCCCAACGGTGACCCGGATCCATCCTGGAAGAGGGCGTACGAAAGGATAAAAGAGGAGCTGAGGAAGTGGGAAGCGCAATATCTAACAACCACGGCAAGAGTGGCAGTGATTAGCTGCTATGTCCTGCCAGTACTGATGTTCCAGGCCCAAGTCTACTCGCCGCCAGAGGAGACGTGGGAAAAAATCAGGAAATTATGTCACGCGTTCGTATCGGCAGGGGAGGCGGCAGAAGAAAAAATATTCATCCTGTGGAGCGCGTACCTGGCGTGTCTGCCGCGGAAGGATGGAGGTCTGGGGCAGCTGGACCCGAAGCTTTGCCTGGACGGGCTGGCGATCCGCAGGATCGGAAAGTTTCTGAAGGAGCCGGACGGAACGCGCCGCTGGCTGGCAGAGAAGGCGGCGGCTTTCCCGCAAGGGCTGGCCACGCTGTACGCGCACCCGTCGGCAATAAAGCAGTGGCAGCGCGGTAGCGAACGATGGAAGGCGGCGGCAAAAGTGTTCTGGAAATCACCTTTCGCGACACTGCCGGCACCAAGGAGCAGGTGGGAGGTGGAAGAGGAGTTTATTTGTTTCAACAGAAACATCATGCATCGAGGGGAGAGCCCTTTCGGTCACCAAATAGGCACAGCGGCCCTCATCACCACGCGCGTTCGGGACCTGCTCACGGACGGGCCAGGGGGACGGAGGGGGGTGAAAGAAGAAGAGGTGCTGACGATTGAACTGGGAAGCAAGGAGGCGGCGGTCATGGCAAGAAAGGCATACGGGGCCATGCCGCCGGAGTGGAGGAAATTGATCGAGGAGCCGGCAACGGCCGAAGCTGTGGTGAAAGCATCAGGAGTGGTGAGGTACATCCTGCAAGGGCAACCGGCTAGACTCCCATGGGCAGTGGACGGGGTGGACGGCAGGAAGGTGGTCGCGTCCAGCATGTCCCTCGGTGAAGACGGGAGAATAGGGAAAAAAGCAAGAGCGGAGAAAACGTGTTTCGAAGCGTGCAGACTCCAACCGATGGCGGTTCAGAAAGGAATGCTGCTTGGCCCCGTGGGAGATCCAAAGGTGCGGTTGCTGTCTCTACCAGGACTGTTCGCTGGGGGAGAATTGGTGCCGCTACGCGGGGTAAGGGCCGCACTATCCAAGGCGAAAGGGCGTTCTTGGAGACAAGCGGAGTGGGAGGACGTGTGGGGAAAAAAGATTGACTGGCGGAAGGTCATTGAGACCAGAGACTCGATAAATGTACCGGGCAAGGCGAGGGACGTCCTACTAAGGGTTCACAGCATGAACCTGCAGGTTGGGGGGAGGCTGGGTTTCTTCCAGAACATGATAGCATGTGTGCACTGTGGAGAGGAGGAAACCCTAGCAGATTGTCTCTACAGTTGCCCGGTCATACAACCGATCATTGGCGCGCTGAAGCGGACGTTGCACATGCTGAACCCGGGGCAGATCGGTGGACTGTCTGGGGGACCTACTGTTTGGCAAAAAGGGCACAGCGTCAGGTTTTCCGGAGGTGACGCTGACATCAGTGGTGCTTAGGCAGATCTGGTTGGCGCGATGCAATGCAGTTTGGCGCGCAGCTCCTTTCGAGAGAAAGAAGGTGGGGAGATGTGCTGTGCTGGAATTCATGACGCATGCGAGGGTGGTGCTGGCAGCAAGGGGAAGGCTGGCAGCGGCCGATGAAGGGAGAAGTTTCTGGAAGACAGACAACTGGAGCCATGTGGCTGCGGATGAGAAGTTGCAGCTTCAGAAGATTTGCGGTGATGGTGGGCCAACAATTTGGGCGGCTCCTTTCCTCTCCATCTGGCGCAACCCGCGCACTTTCTATCAGCCTCCGTAGCATGCCATAGGGGGGCGGTGCGGCGTCCACAAGGCGTGGCCTAGACCCTCCAAGATATACAGTTACGACTGCGGATGTATCTATATTTGATAATATATTTACACCTCCAAAAAAAAAAAAAAAAAAAAAATTACGCAGCGCCGAGCCGCCTCGCCAAACCACCTCCTCGATTTGGAATTCTTCTTTGAGGCAGTGTTGTTAGTTGTTCACGCATCGACCCAATCCACAGCTTCCCCCTCCTCTCCGCACCGCAATACTTATGAGTCACCCAAAAGACACAACCTTTGCGTGCACTCAAAAGACTAGTTCTTTGCGTGTGCTCAAAAGACACCTCTTTTGGGTCGACGCAAAAGGCAACCCATGTCCAGGTGTTGCATCGTGGGTAGGGAGAGCACAGTTGTGACTATTCATATTTGTCGAGCATTGGGCACAAAACACAAACAAATGCGGGGTCGTGTATGTAATTCTGTACACCCTGTTTCGCGCCACACTGACATTCGCTGTATTGACATGCCGCTTATTCTGATATCAACGCGTCCAAAACGGTCCCAGAACATAGTATATAAGCACAATTCGCCGCAATTAACCGTACGCGATAGCATTGTTTCCTTCATAAACCGTTGTGTATCGTTCTTCTGGACTGCATTTGCCCGCCACCTACCTGGGGTTTGGTTGCAAGCACCAGCCCGCAAAATCCAAGCACACGTTCGCACTGTAGCCGGGGCTCCTGATTGTCCGAACGTTGAGAAACAGGGTGTATCTATATACACCCTGTTTCTCAATGTTCTGACAATCGAGAGCTGCGTCAACAGTGCTGTCATTTAGCGCCACTGTGCATGTAACCAACACCCCTAATGTTGACAGGCACAGCACCAAGCGACAAATCAGAACATTCGAAATGTTCTATTGACTTTGTCTTCACATGTTGACCTGACATCCAGGCTGGGGTTGTGGATGCACACACGTGGCACGGATGCATCCGGGGGGTTGATTTGTTTCGAACGAATTCAATGGACCAGTCGTTGGGCTCGCTTGTGGATTTTCGACACCTCAGCTGCTGGGTTTGCTCTGATTTCGCACATGTTCACGGAGTGTACTCGGCTGTCCTCATGCAGCCTCGCTTTCTGGCCAGTCAAGGACAACAGCAGGCACAACCAATTGGCAGTCGTGATTGTGCATGAACACAATGTGCTAGCACCATTCTGGGCTCGGTGAAGTCACACAAAGCGTTGGGTTCATACAGCGGATGTCAGTGTGGCGCGAAACAGGGTGTACGCGATTTAGCGGGCAGAACTTTACTTCATGATTTCCGTCTTGGAGCAGCTGGGATGAAAAACATGGTTATCTGGTAGAGTTCATAACTGTTGGCATCCACGTGCCAAATGTATCTGCGTCTCCATTCAGCGGACTCGCAGGTGTAACCAGATGTCTGACGCATTCAGCTTTCACCCTGCGCTTCGTGATTTGTACAAAGTGGAACAGCTTCCAAGGGTTGTGAAGGCGCGCAGCAGGAAGGAGGAAGAGACTACCCACCAACTCCAATCCAATCCGCCCTGCAAATAAAAAGTCCGCTTTGCCAAATCAGGAACGCAGCAGAACGGGACACAGATAGAGTATTTACATCCATTTGCTCTGCAATACATTCATCATTCCGCACACCATAATTTAGAGAGTATCGCTCCCCAGTTTCATTCAACTTTCACGAGCGTCAGAATGGCTCGAACTGCGCTTTTCGCGCTCTCCCTAGCCCTGCTGCTGGTGGCGGCGCGCGCCGGCAGCCCCATCACAAGCTCGTCGGCGAACGAGAAGCCCGACCAGAGCAGCAAGAAGGTCGACGGGCTCATGACGGAACTCCCCGCAGACATTGCGAAGCAGGCGGCGTCGGGCAACGCGGCGGGACTGACCTACGTGGACACGGCGCAGGACTCTTTTTTCATGGCTGATGTGAAGAAGGCCGGGTGGAACGCGCAGAAATGCCCGCCGGGTTTGAACAAGGAGCTGGCGGGCGCGTGCACGCCCAAGAATTGCTCCAAGGGCGGCATTGCCGCCAAGTGGAAGACGGCGTACCTGCAGAAGAACAAGCTCGGTTACGAGCTGTACGTGCCGGGTAACCCGCTCACGCTGCTCAAGGCGAACCCCGCGTCGTGCTGCAACACGTGCGCCGCGACGCCGCTGTGCACGTACTGGCAGTACATTCCCGATATCACGATCGACGGGAAGAAGGGCAAGGGTGCGTGCTACCTGATCCACGACCAGATCGACTTCACTTGCGGAGAGATGACCGCGCAGTACTCGACGGAGACGAAGCCCGTGCCGCTTCAGGTGCGCATCGGCGGCGAGTGCAACCCGAGCGCCAAGATTCTCAACGACCCGCATCTGGTGGGCGCGCACGGCACTCACTTCGACTTCAACGGCCGCCCCGACAAGGCCTTCTGCCTGCTCACGGACCGCGACCTGCACGTGAACATGCTGCTGCGCGGGTACTACGACGAGCGCACCGACAACGCGGCACTCGTCGTCGACGGCAAGGCCGTGCACACGTGGATTAAGGAGCTCGGTATGATCTGGACCGCCAAGGGCGTCGACCACAAGGTTCGCATCGCGGCGCGCGGCGGCAAGCAGCAGGAGCGCGGCGACGGGTTCGTGAAGAGCATCGAGATTGACGGCGAGGCGATCCCGCGCATGCAGGTGGGCGACAGCGTGACGAGCGACGGCGGGCTGACGATCCAGTTCCGCGCGCTGGAGAAGGAGGGGCCGTTCGATGTGGATTACTACCTTCTGACGATCGACGGCTTGATTTCTCTTGACCTCCGCCTGCGTGTGGCGCACCCGAAGCTGCAGACGCCGAGCGACGCCGAGGCGCACATCAACGTGGGGATTGCTGAGCTGGAGCACACCGACGCGATTCACGGCGTGCTCGGCCAGACGTACCGCGACGACCACTCGCAGCGCGCCACGGACTTCCAGAAGCTGATCGCGAGCCTGCACCGTCCGATCTCCGCCGACGGCGCTGAGGGGCAAGGCTTCCTCGATGGCACGCCGCGGTCGTACGAGGCGAGCGATGTGCTTGCTGTGGACTGCGCTTATACCGCGTATGGGCGCGCCAGACAAGTGATGCCCGTGCAAGAGTTCCCGTAAAGCGCTGACTCCGTTTCGGCTATTCCACATGTATTGTATAGTGGGCTGGAATTGATATGGAACTTAGTTAGTGATACCAGTTAGTCATATTGCAGCAAGCAGGCATAAAATCTTGTTGCCTTGATGTATACAACCCAACATTATTAACTAATATTTGCGCAACTTCCCATTCATATAGTTCCCGGCTATCAGATCATCGATCCCTTGTCCTTCTCTCCTGGTATCAACCGTGCACTGACAGTAGCAAAGTTCATTGACGGGCTCTGGTCACCGCAGCCCTAGCGATTGCATCCTTCCCTCTCCACACATAAGGGCGTGTCACCATTTTTCCTCTCTATTGACACAATCATCGACTGTAGACGTAATTTGGTTTGGCATGAGTTTCTGTGGTTCCTCGTTATTCGCCCGTAACCATACGACGTCGCATGCGTTCCGTAACGGCGTGGAACTTTTCTCGCTTTCAATTCTATGAGGCATCGTCTGTTTACCGAACCGACGACTAAACAGCAGTTGTGACAGAAATTACACAGCGGCTATTTCTACATGCATCATCTAGATGACTCCCCAACGTTCCGCCATGGATTCTGTCAGGCACTAAGGAAGCCTCAATGTCTACAAATTTCCTATCAGTTACTAATTCTAAACGCGGATTCGGAATCTACATGACAAGACAAGCAAGAAGATACTCTTTATGTGCTCAAATGTCGAGCATTGTAACTTCAAGTTTTTTGTCAGGCACTCCGTCACCCCCGTTGTTAACTACTGGAAGTGATCCCCAGAAGGTTTTCCCTATGCTAATGTCAGAAACTTATTTTCCCGAGGAGACATCAGACACAACAAAGATTCTACCGCGATTAACTAATACCAAGGAACACTCAACTACCAAGGACAACGGTTTCATGCATCATCAGCCAAGGAAGAAAATAAGGCATTTGCAGCTACATCGCGGCTATAAGAGAACGGTGCTCAGAGCAGTCAGTTTAAACCACACATTTACGCGTGCTTCATCAAGCCTCGGTCGCAGTTTCTCCAGCTCTCATCATCGCACCATGCCGCGTGTGACGAAGAAGACTGTCAAGCCGGTAACCAAGTCTGCGGTTTCTGAAGTGATGGATCTGGCAGCTAAGGGACATCAGTCAGAGCCGGCTACGCCGAAGCCGCAGTTGAAGGATGTAGAAGGTCCTTTTGACGGTGGTGTGCGCGCATCGCTGGCGAAGAGGCTGTCGGCACTTAAGTTTCCTTCTTCGGATGCGCCTGTTGGAGATGGGGACAACAACGCTAACGAAGGACAAGGAAAAGAGGAAGAGGTGAATTCGCCGACCGCTGCTCCTGATGCACCTGAGGAGGGAGGTGAAGACGAGGAAGAAGAGGATGACGGGTATCTCAGTGATGATCCTGAGGAGCGTTTTGACCCGGTGAAAGCTGGAGAAATTGCTGCGCGCGCGGGTTTCTCCATCACGCTGCTGGTTCCGATCAAGTACGAGGAGGAGGTTCCCCGTACTATCGACACGGTTAAGGGACTCCTTGCGTTGTGGAGGAAGTTTATGTCGGCTCACGTACCGACGACGACAAGGTGCCAAGTCCTCTTGCCGGCGTGGCTGTCAAAGAAGCGGTATGGGAGGATGCAAGTCACTTTCCAGCAAGCATCGGACGCGAACTACGTGTGGTGTCGTCAGATCCAGCACAAGATGTTGAATGAGGAGAGCATTTACCTGGACTGGCAGCACCCGGAAAACCCGGTCTACATTCAGGAGCGAGCGACTAACCCGGACTCCATCGAGGTGCTGCTGAAGAGTGTCCCGGCGGCTATTACGTCGGAAATGGTGTATGAATACCTGGTGAAGACGGTGTTGGAGAAGCGGGGTCGGACGCCGTTCCTCAGTGGGGCTGCCTTCCACAGGGTGGTGGATCCGGTTACCGGCGCAGACACTGACAAGATTCGGGGTCTGGTTAAGGGACACCCGGGGGATAAGTATCGCTGGTGGCATTTGTTGGTCGACTCAGTGCATCACAAGCAGCTCCTCGTGCATTACCCCTCGCTCACCTGTGATTTCTGCGCTGGCATGCATATGACGAAGTTTCACGATGATTTTGTTACGGAGCGGCAGGAGAACATCGACAAGTGGAACCTGACTCTCGAGCGTCTGCACGCGATCAACGGTAAACCATCAACCACTAACCTTGCTTTTCAGGCTATTGGGGCCCTGTTCGTCCCTGCTGACGGTCTCGTCGCCTTATACCTGAGCAGCTGCGTCCCTGCCTTTAGACGTGCGGGTGAAGAAGATTTTGCGCGATCCTGCGGTTGTTTTGGTCTCCACGGGAGGAAGCAGGGAGGATTGGCTGTGCGTCCAGGAGGCGTGCGGCAAGGCGCACGGATCCAGTTTTACGCAGGCGCTAGCGCATGTGAAGTCGGTGCAGCACTGTACAGCTATCCTGCAGGGGGACGCAGCAAGCAGGAAGAGCAGGGGGAAAATGAATTTTTTTCCGATTCGCAAGGAGTTTGGGCTGTAAAGGAGACAGTGCAGGGAAAGACGGCTGTCCGGAGTATTCATGACCGAGGCAGACGTGGCAAGCGAGAAGTAAGGAGGTTACCTGATCGTGGTGCGAGGATGTGCGTAGGAGTTTTGTTGTACCAAGCCCGTGGATGCGAAGGGGCCCTGTCTCAGTAGATTAATGGATAACACCCGCAATCTCACACTGTGCGAGGTCAATGTCAATGGCCTCGGAAGCAACGGCAAAAGAACTGCACACGCAAAGTGGATCAGAACAGTTGCAGACGTGGTGGTGCTCACAGACACGAGAATCAGAGGAGATCACAATTTTTGGACGCAGTTGAAACCCGCCTCGGTAGCGGTGGTGGGAAACAGTGAACGAGCAGGAGGGGTGGCGGTGTTGTCTTTCAATGAGGAGATTAAGCTCACAGAGGCGATTACTCACCCGTCGGGGAGATTGGTGGGAGTCACGGTGTCGTGCCCGCAGATCTCCTTCAGGCTGATAGCGATGTACCTCCCGGCGCAGCCGTGTGCCAGAGGAGTCTTTTTCCGGAGCTGCCTCCCGCTGTTTGTCCAGGCTCAGCCGGCGCACGCTCACCTGGTGGTTCTGGGAGACCTGAATCTAGTGGAGGACCCCGACCTGGACAAAACATCGCGCTCGGGCTCGGGGAATGAAAACCAAAGGCTGCTGAGTTTCTGGAGAGCAGAGGACCTCAGAGACGCATTCCGGGTCCTGCATCCGAGCCGTCCGGAGTACACCTTTAGAGACAGGGCGACAAAGGCGAGAACTCGCATCGACAGGAGCTTGGTGTCGTTCTCGTTGCTCGGGCTACAGGCGGATGCCCGCCACGTCAAGATCCCAAGGGGGCTGTCGGACCACTGGTTCGGCATTAAGGTAGCGCTCGCGGTGTCGGCGCCGGAAGATCAGGGCCCTGGCATGTGGAGGATGCAGGCAAAGCAAGCACGACGGAGAGGAGTTAAGACGGTGACAGCTAGCATCCTTAAGAAATTGGAGAACGAGGAAGAGATGGACCTGGGAAAGAAGCTGAAACTGCTCAGCATGGGCCTGAGAGAATACTCACGGGAGGAGCGAAAGAGGGTGAAGGCGACGGTGCAGCACCTGGAGGTAGTGGTGGAGCGACTAAGGCACAAAGTGATGCGATATCCGGGAGACAAGAGAGCACAAAACAGGTTGATGCGGAAGGAGGCGCACCTAGGGGCTTATCTCCAGAGCTGCAAAGATCGGATGCAAGTGTTAGCGGGAATCAAGGTGGAGCTCACCGGAGAAGTCCCATCGCCATACTTGTCGGCCAGAATCAAAGTACGGAAGAGACGGACGGTGGTGCGCGAGATCTCTCACCATGGAGTGGTGTACCAGGGGACAAAGGAGGTGCTGAAGGCGGCAGCGGACCATTTCAAAGCTGCTTTTGGCGAGGTGCTACCAGAGGAAGAGGTGGACTGGGGGACTTTCTCGGAAGGCGCCAGATTCTCGGAGACGGATGCAGCGCTCCTTGGGGCAGACTGGACGGAGGAGGAGGTCAAGTAGGCGCTGGTGAGCCTCCCGAAGAGGAAATCTCCCGGGCAGGACGGCTTGCCCGCGGAATATTTCATTCTGCACTGGGATCTGCTGAAAGCACATGTGATGAGTTTTGTCGGGGAATTCGCCAGGAAGGCGAGTATGCCGGAGAGCTTATCGACAGCGGTGACAGTCCTGCTGCATAAGAAGGGGCCAACAGATCAACTGGGGAACTACCGCCCCATCACACTTCTATCAGTCATGTACAAGGTGGTTACAAAAGTTATGGCTACAAGGCTCAAAAAGGTGCTGGGCAAAGTCCTGTCAAAAGAACAGCACGGCTTCTTACCGGGGAAAAGCCTGGCGGACGCAGTATCAGTGGTAGCGGATGCGGTGGAGGCAGCGAACAGCGGCAAGGAAGATTGGCTACTGCTGCTGGTAGATTTCCAGAAGGCCTATGACACGGTCTCGAGGGTCTTCCTTTTCAGGGTCATGAAGGAGCTGGGGGTGCCTGACAATTTCATCGGCTGGACCAGGGGCCTGCATGCAGACGCAGGGACAAGGGTCATAATTAATGGGTGGTTAAGCGACAGGGTGGAGATGAACAGAGGGGTCAGGCAGGGGTGCCCACTGGCGCCATACCTGTTTCATTGCGCACTCGAGCCGTTATGCAGAGCCACGCAGCGGGAGAATCTGGGCATCGGACCGGTCGGGAAGGAGCCGCTTGCATACGTGGGATACGCCGACGACACATCATTTCTGCTGAATGGAGAAGCCCAACTGCGGAAGGTGGTGGAGGTCTTGGGCACCTTCGGGAAACACTCAGGGCTGAAGGTGAATTGTGAAAAGTCAGTGGTGGTACCGCTGGGAAGCAACCGGGGAGAGCCGGCGCCGGCAGACGTCTCGTATAAATGGTCGGAGCAGGGAGAGCCGGAGAGGCTCTTGGGGGTGTGGATAACGCCCAACGGTGACCCGGATCCATCCTGGAAGAGGGCGTACGAAAGGATAAAAGAGGAGCTGAGGAAGTGGGAAGCGCAATATCTAACAACCACGGCAAGAGTGGCAGTGATTAGCTGCTATGTCCTGCCAGTACTGATGTTCCAGGCCCAAGTCTACTCGCCGCCAGAGGAGACGTGGGAAAAAATCAGGAAATTATGTCACGCGTTCGTATCGGCAGGGGAGGCGGCAGAAGAAAAAATATTCATCCTGTGGAGCGCGTACCTGGCGTGTCTGCCGCGGAAGGATGGAGGTCTGGGGCAGCTGGACCCGAAGCTTTGCCTGGACGGGCTGGCGATCCGCAGGATCGGAAAGTTTCTGAAGGAGCCGGACGGAACGCGCCGCTGGCTGGCAGAGAAGGCGGCGGCTTTCCCGCAAGGGCTGGCCACGCTGTACGCGCACCCGTCGGCAATAAAGCAGTGGCAGCGCGGTAGCGAACGATGGAAGGCGGCGGCAAAAGTGTTCTGGAAATCACCTTTCGCGACACTGCCGGCACCAAGGAGCAGGTGGGAGGTGGAAGAGGAGTTTATTTGTTTCAACAGAAACATCATGCATCGAGGGGAGAGCCCTTTCGGTCACCAAATAGGCACAGCGGCCCTCATCACCACGCGCGTTCGGGACCTGCTCACGGACGGGCCAGGGGGACGGAGGGGGGTGAAAGAAGAAGAGGTGCTGACGATTGAACTGGGAAGCAAGGAGGCGGCGGTCATGGCAAGAAAGGCATACGGGGCCATGCCGCCGGAGTGGAGGAAATTGATCGAGGAGCCGGCAACGGCCGAAGCTGTGGTGAAAGCATCAGGAGTGGTGAGGTACATCCTGCAAGGGCAACCGGCTAGACTCCCATGGGCAGTGGACGGGGTGGACGGCAGGAAGGTGGTCGCGTCCAGCATGTCCCTCGGTGAAGACGGGAGAATAGGGAAAAAAGCAAGAGCGGAGAAAACGTGTTTCGAAGCGTGCAGACTCCAACCGATGGCGGTTCAGAAAGGAATGCTGCTTGGCCCCGTGGGAGATCCAAAGGTGCGGTTGCTGTCTCTACCAGGACTGTTCGCTGGGGGAGAATTGGTGCCGCTACGCGGGGTAAGGGCCGCACTATCCAAGGCGAAAGGGCGTTCTTGGAGACAAGCGGAGTGGGAGGACGTGTGGGGAAAAAAGATTGACTGGCGGAAGGTCATTGAGACCAGAGACTCGATAAATGTACCGGGCAAGGCGAGGGACGTCCTACTAAGGGTTCACAGCATGAACCTGCAGGTTGGGGGGAGGCTGGGTTTCTTCCAGAACATGATAGCATGTGTGCACTGTGGAGAGGAGGAAACCCTAGCAGATTGTCTCTACAGTTGCCCGGTCATACAACCGATCATTGGCGCGCTGAAGCAGACGTTGCACATGCTGAACCCGGGGCAGATCGGTGGACTGTCTGGGGGACCTACTGTTTGGCAAAAAGGGCACAGCGTCAGGTTTTCCGGAGGTGACGCTGACATCAGTGGTGCTTAGGCAGATCTGGTTGGCGCGATGCAATGCAGTTTGGCGCGCAGCTCCTTTCGAGAGAAAGAAGGTGGGGAGATGTGCTGTGCTGGAATTCATGACGCATGCGAGGGTGGTGCTGGCAGCAAGGGGAAGGCTGGCAGCGGCCGATGAAGGGAGAAGTTTCTGGAAGACAGACAACTGGAGCCATGTGGCTGCGGATGAGAAGTTGCAGCTTCAGAAGATTTGCGGTGATGGTGGGCCAACAATTTGGGCGGCTCCTTTCCTCTCCATCTGGCGCAACCCGCGCACTTTCTATCAGCCTCCGTAGCATGCCATAGGGGGGCGGTGCGGCGTCCACAAGGCGTGGCCTAGACCCTCCAAGATATACAGTTACGACTGCGGATGTATCTATATTTGATAATATATTTACACCTCCAAAAAAAAAAAAAAAAAAAAAATTACGCAGCGCCGAGCCGCCTCGCCAAACCACCTCCTCGATTTGGAATTCTTCTTTGAGGCAGTGTTGTTAGTTGTTCACGCATCGACCCAATCCACAGCTTCCCCCTCCTCTCCGCACCGCAATACTTATGAGTCACCCAAAAGACACAACCTTTGCGTGCACTCAAAAGACTAGTTCTTTGCGTGTGCTCAAAAGACACCTCTTTTGGGTCGACGCAAAAGGCAACCCATGTCCAGGTGTTGCATCGTGGGTAGGGAGAGCACAGTTGTGACTATTCATATTTGTCGAGCATTGGGCACAAAACACAAACAAATGCGGGGTCGTGTATGTAATTCTGTACACCCTGTTTCGCGCCACACTGACATTCGCTGTATTGACATGCCGCTTATTCTGATATCAACGCGTCCAAAACGGTCCCAGAACATAGTATATAAGCACAATTCGCCGCAATTAACCGTACGCGATAGCATTGTTTCCTTCATAAACCGTTGTGTATCGTTCTTCTGGACTGCATTTGCCCGCCACCTACCTGGGGTTTGGTTGCAAGCACCAGCCCGCAAAATCCAAGCACACGTTCGCACTGTAGCCGGGGCTCCTGATTGTCCGAACGTTGAGAAACAGGGTGTATCTATATACACCCTGTTTCTCAATGTTCTGACAATCGAGAGCTGCGTCAACAGTGCTGTCATTTAGCGCCACTGTGCATGTAACCAACACCCCTAATGTTGACAGGCACAGCACCAAGCGACAAATCAGAACATTCGAAATGTTCTATTGACTTTGTCTTCACATGTTGACCTGACATCCAGGCTGGGGTTGTGGATGCACACACGTGGCACGGATGCATCCGGGGGGTTGATTTGTTTCGAACGAATTCAATGGACCAGTCGTTGGGCTCGCTTGTGGATTTTCGACACCTCAGCTGCTGGGTTTGCTCTGATTTCGCACATGTTCACGGAGTGTACTCGGCTGTCCTCATGCAGCCTCGCTTTCTGGCCAGTCAAGGACAACAGCAGGCACAACCAATTGGCAGTCGTGATTGTGCATGAACACAATGTGCTAGCACCATTCTGGGCTCGGTGAAGTCACACAAAGCGTTGGGTTCATACAGCGGATGTCAGTGTGGCGCGAAACAGGGTGTACGCGATTTAGCGGGCAGAACTTTACTTCATGATTTCCGTCTTGGAGCAGCTGGGATGAAAAACATGGTTATCTGGTAGAGTTCATAACTGTTGGCATCCACGTGCCAAATGTATCTGCGTCTCCATTCAGCGGACTCGCAGGTGTAACCAGATGTCTGACGCATTCAGCTTTCACCCTGCGCTTCGTGATTTGTACAAAGTGGAACAGCTTCCAAGGGTTGTGAAGGCGCGCAGCAGGAAGGAGGAAGAGACTACCCACCAACTCCAATCCAATCCGCCCTGCAAATAAAAAGTCCGCTTTGCCAAATCAGGAACGCAGCAGAACGGGACACAGATAGAGTATTTACATCCATTTGCTCTGCAATACATTCATCATTCCGCACACCATAATTTAGAGAGTATCGCTCCCCAGTTTCATTCAACTTTCACGAGCGTCAGAATGGCTCGAACTGCGCTTTTCGCGCTCTCCCTAGCCCTGCTGCTGGTGGCGGCGCGCGCCGGCAGCCCCATCACAAGCTCGTCGGCGAACGAGAAGCCCGACCAGAGCAGCAAGAAGGTCGACGGGCTCATGACGGAACTCCCCGCAGACATTGCGAAGCAGGCGGCGTCGGGCAACGCGGCGGGACTGACCTACGTGGACACGGCGCAGGACTCTTTTTTCATGGCTGATGTGAAGAAGGCCGGGTGGAACGCGCAGAAATGCCCGCCGGGTTTGAACAAGGAGCTGGCGGGCGCGTGCACGCCCAAGAATTGCTCCAAGGGCGGCATTGCCGCCAAGTGGAAGACGGCGTACCTGCAGAAGAACAAGCTCGGTTACGAGCTGTACGTGCCGGGTAACCCGCTCACGCTGCTCAAGGCGAACCCCGCGTCGTGCTGCAACACGTGCGCCGCGACGCCGCTGTGCACGTACTGGCAGTACATTCCCGATATCACGATCGACGGGAAGAAGGGCAAGGGTGCGTGCTACCTGATCCACGACCAGATCGACTTCACTTGCGGAGAGATGACCGCGCAGTACTCGACGGAGACGAAGCCCGTGCCGCTTCAGGTGCGCATCGGCGGCGAGTGCAACCCGAGCGCCAAGATTCTCAACGACCCGCATCTGGTGGGCGCGCACGGCACTCACTTCGACTTCAACGGCCGCCCCGACAAGGCCTTCTGCCTGCTCACGGACCGCGACCTGCACGTGAACATGCTGCTGCGCGGGTACTACGACGAGCGCACCGACAACGCGGCGCTGGTCGTCGACGGCAAGGCCGTGCACACGTGGATTAAGGAGCTCGGTATGATCTGGACCGCTAAGGGCGTCGACCACAAGGTTCGCATCGCGGCGCGCGGCGGCAAGCAGCAGGAGCGCGGCGACGGGTTCGTGAAGAGCATCGAGATTGACGGCGAGGCGATCCCGCGCATGCAGGTGGGCGACAGCGTGACGAGCGACGGCGGGCTGACGATCCAGTTCCGCGCGCTGGAGAAGGAGGCGCCGTTCGATGTGGATTACTACCTTCTGACGATCGACGGCCTGATTTCGCTCGACCTCCGCCTGCGCGTGGCGCACCCGAAGCTGCAGACGCCAAGCGACGCCGAGGTGCACATCAACGTGGGGATTGCAGAGCTGGAGCACACCGACGCGATTCACGGCGTGCTCGGACAGACGTACCGCGAGGACCACTCGCAGCGGGCCGCGGACTTCCAGAAGCTGATCGCGAGCCTGCACCGTCCGATCTCCGCTGATGGTGCTGAGGGTCAAGGGTTCCTAGATGGCACTCCGCGGTCGTACGAGGCGAGCGACGTGCTTGCTGTGGACTGCGCTTACACCGCGTATGGGCGCGCCAGGCAGGTGATGCCCGTGCAGGAGTTCCTGTAAAGCGCTAACTTTTTTGGTTAGTGGGCTGAATTTTGGAAAGTTAGGTTAGTTATACCATTATTGCCGTAAGGAGGCATTAATTTTTTTTGCCTCGATGTACGCTACTCATTATTCTTTACGTAACTTAGCATTCAACATGGTTTCTGGCCAATGCAAATGACCGATCAGATCAGAAATGCCTGGTCCTACAGGTGATGCCCACCCTATGCACGCGAATTTGCTCTGCACCGGATGGAAACGCTGCACCCGAGGTTTTTTCCCCAGCCTGTTGCACCCACGGTACAAGCGCGTCGCGTGGTTATGAACCAATTGTAACGAACAGACCGAAGTCAAACTGACGAGACTGAAGTCAAAATGTCAACGCATAAGGTTACAGATTCTGGATATAAGCACCTGCGAGTCCTTTTTAGCTAGCTGCGAATTGACGAAACTTAAGCGAAATGGACGATACAGCTTATACGCCCACTTCACAAGGCAACCAGGAGGGGCTCAATCAGGCATCATGTGTACTCTCCTGATTTACTGTGACAGCAGCAACATTCAACGAGCGTCTGGTCCACGCAGCCCTGCCGATTGCATTCACCCTGCCCCCCTTTTCTCTTCATGTGTCATGACTTCCCTGTCACTTTGATATGGTAACAGTTTTCTTAATTCTTCGTTGTAAATTGCCCGTAACCATACGACGCCGCATGCGTTTCGTTCCGTAATGGCATGCAACTTTTCCCGCTTCCAACAGCACTGAAAGGGTAATCAAGTGTCGTACGTTTTCCGAACGGACGACTCAACAGAGATACAGGTGCAGTGCAATCTCTTTAGTACAGAAAATATGTTCAGGTGGGAGCCCGGCGCATCTTTCAAGGTTTCTGTTGCGCACTGTACACACGTGCCGGAACAGAGCCTTGAAAAGATGCGCCACTCAAATCTGTACTCGCTGAGTGAAATTAATGCGCTCACACACGCTTCGTTTACCCACGCTACCAGGAACTGCTAAGACATTGTCAAATATAATAGTTATAGGCTGTAGTAAGTTGCATTCTAGAGGGTACAGATGCTAGGGTTTCCTATTTGTATCCAACACTTTGCTAGTTCATACATTCCGTTGTGTTTGGATTCTGAGATGGTATCAGAGCAATGTCCATGACCAAGCCAATGCGGCGCTCAGCAACCCCATTCTGCTGTGGGGACTCCGGAAGCGTCCAGGACTGTACGATGCCCTGTTCGCCGCAGAATCCGCCAAGAATGCCGGAGCGAAACTCGCCCCCACGGTCGGAGTGTAGACAACTGACACGACGACCACGAGTGCCCTCAGTAGCCAGAAGCCACCGGATCAGCGTAGCAGTCACCTCGGACTTCTTCGCGAGAGGGAACACTATGGTGTACCTGGAGAAGTCGTCGACGACCACCAGAAAGTAACGCTCCCTCCCAGAACCCTGCGTCGGAGCAGGGCTCCAGACGTCCAAGTGGAGGGTCTCGAAGGGAGCAGTGGCCGGACGAAGGGAGGAGGAGTGGGGAGTGGCGCGTAAGCGACCGGCGACGCAAGGAGTGCAAGGGGGAGCAGGGTAGGTGGGGAGCGACGGAAAGGTGCGTGGGAGACTGGTGACAAGCCCGTGAGTGGTCATCCCGCGGAGGCGGGGGATCGACGGGTGGCCAAGGCGGTGGTGCCACAAGACGGTCCAGTGGGTGAGGGACCGACAGGAGCAGGACGCAGCGACTGGACTAGACAGCGCGACCTGACTAGATACTGCAACTGGACAAGACACGACCACCTGGCTAGACACAGCAGCCGGACTGGACACCTGGACTGGAGGGGACGCAACGACCTGAGCGGAGGACGCAACCGGGGAGCGCTCGGTGTGGAGAACGTAGAGACCGGAGCGGGGCTCCCTGGTGAACGTGGCCAGAACAGCACCTGTGGAAGCGTCTGTACAGACCGCAGTCCTCCCACCCCCCACAAAGGTAACGGTGATCCCCCTGTCCTGGAGGTGACCAACACCCACCAAGTTCCGAGTGAACGAGGGGATGTGGAGGCCGCGCAGGACACCAGAGGGGACCACAGGACACGGGAGGGTAGTGGAGCTACGCGCAACGGCTGGTCCTGAGGTAGGATCAGCCAGAGCCACCGAAACAGGAGTGAGGAGTGGCGTGAGGGTCGTGTGGTCGCGGAAGAAGCACTGAGACGCACCAGAGTCCAGCGTGAAGGACAGGGACGCCTCAGCCGGAGGGTCACCTGACCTAGTGGCTACACAAGCACCTAGAGCAGAAACGCAAGCACCTAGACTAGAGAGGCACAAGTCTACACTAGCCGGAGGCAAGCAAGCTAATCTACGAACATGCGAGCACACAGATCCATCAGCACCATAGTCAACATCAGCATACAAAGCATGCTGACGAGCATCGTCCATGGACAGATCAAACACATCAATCTTACGGACTAACAGGCGAGCCCAGCGAGGCGTGGTCGCCGTAGGGCCCCAACGAGCACGGTAGAGGTCGTCGAGGCGGCAGAAGCACCGCGCGACAGAGTGGTCGTCACGACCGCAGAGACAGGGGCTGCCAGGTCCGGTGAGGCACCAGTGGGTGCAGGGGCCAGTGTCACGGCGAGGGGGGCGAGGGGCCCAGCTGGAAGTGCTGCCGCTGCGGCCGGTGCTCCCTGGTCCTCCCGGACCCCACTGCGGCGAGGGACCCCAGTGCTGCTGCGGACCCCACTGCAGTGGGGACCCCCACTGCTGGAACTATTGCGGTGCCTGCTGCTGCTGCGGTCCCTGCTACTGCTGCTGTCCCTGCTGTGGCTGGTGCTGCTGCGTCCTCCGTCCTCTCTCCCTGTCCCCCCTACTCCTATCACTGACTACTACCGTGCTGTTCGTCCTGTTGTCTCCCGTGTCCTCGCCACTCTTGTCACCGACTTTCGTTTCCCTCCGTCGTCTGTCTCGGCTCTCACTGCCGCTGTCGTTGAGTTTGCTGCCGCCAGCCACCTTGACTACGCCACCCGTGTGGTGCCAGCTCCTCCCTCCTGTCCTCTGTCCGTCGGGGGTGAGTTTGCCCTTGGCTGTGACGTCCTAGAGGACAGAGAGCCTGAGCTGGAGTACTGGGAAGCCGCTTCTCCCTCTGTCTGTGCCATGCTGCTATCCCCTGAGGGAGACCCCGACGCCCTTGACATACCGACTCCTCGTACTTACCGCGAGGCAGTGTCAGGGGCGTGGGCGTCACAGTGGAAAGCGGCTATGGTATCGGAGTTAGCCTCTTGGAGATCCACTGGCACCTACGTCGACGCAGTTCCCCCTCCCAAGGCGAACGTAGTCGATGACATGTGGCTCTTCAAGGTGAAGCGGTCGCCTAAATCACCGCCTGTGTTCAAGGCGCGCTACGTGGCTAGGGGTTTCAGTCAGCATGAGGGCGTTGACTTCTTCCAGAACTTCGCCCCGACCCCGAAGATGACTACTCTTCGGGTGTTACTGCACGTAGCAGCACAGCGAGACTACGAGCTGCACTCCCTTGACTTCTCCACTGCGTTTCTCCAGGGCCGACTACACGAGGAGATCTGGCTGCGCCGCCCTCCTGGCTTCACTGACACCTTCCCACCTGGGACCCAGTGGAGCCTGAGGCGGCCAGTCTACGGTCTCTGCCAATCGCCCCGTGAGTGGCACGACACTCTTCGCTCCACGCTTTGTGACCTTGGGTTTAGTCCGTCGTCCGCCGACCCGTCGCTGTTTGTTCGGGCTGGTTCCACTCCTTTCTTCATCCTTGTCTACGTCGATGACTTGGTCTTTGCTACAGCAGACAGGGCAGCTCTGGCTCAGGTGAAGTCCGAACTGCAGAAGAGACACAAGTGCACTGACCTAGGTGAACTGCAGCGCTACCTTGGCCTGCATATCACCAGGGACAGAGCCGCTCGCACCATCACACTGACTCAGTCACACATGGTGCAGCAGGTCCTTCGGCGGTTCGACTTCCAGTTCTCCACCACACAGCCCACACCTCTTGCGGTTGACCACAGACTCACCTTCCCCTTTCCGGACGAGCCCTTTGAGTCCAGTGGTCCCTACGCAGAGCTGGTGGGCTGGCTCATGTACCTGATGACTTGTACTCGGCCAGACCTCGCCTTTCCCCTCAGCATCCTTTCTCGCTTTGTTGCGACTGGGAGACACCGTCCAGTCCACTGGACAGCTGCTGTGAGGGTGGCGAAGTACCTAACGACTACATCAGGCATGGGGCTTGTGCTTGGAGGGACTCAGCCAGTGGCGTTGACTGGTCGCTGCGACTCTTCCTACGCTGACGACGTGGAGACTTAGCGCTCGACTCAGGGTTACTGCTTCAGTCTGGGAGCTGGTGCTGTGTCGTGGAGGTCTACACGGTCGTCGTCTGTGGCTACTTCCAGTGCAGAGGCAGAGGTCTACGCTGGTGCCATGGTGGCACAGGAGCTTCGCTGATTGACCTTCTTGCTCGCCGACCTTGGTGAGCGGCCTCGCTCTGCACCGACCTTTTTACGCTGACAACAAGGTCATGATCCTCCTCTGTCGAGAGCCTCGACTGGAGAGCAGAGTGAAGCACATTGACGTGAGGTACTTTCTCTTGCGAGAGCTGCAGCGACGCGGCCAGGCACGCCTGGACTTTGTGGCCTCAGAGGCCAACACTGCAGACGTCTTCACCAAGGCCCTAGCGCTTGGTGACCACCACAGGTTCTGTGTGCAGTTGGGGCTTGTTGAGGTAGGCCCTCGGTTGCTGTAGTCTTGTTGCTTGCTCTGCTTGTTTTGCTTTCCTATATATATCCTAGTGAAATCTTGAACTGGCCTTGTGGCCGCTTGCTTGCGCTCGGAATTTGTGTGGTGTCCTTGAGATCCGCCCTGAGCTTGTTTTGGTTCTTGCTGACTGGTCTTGTGACCGTTTCTCTGCCTTGCTTGTTGTTGATGCCCCTCACTTAGCCTATGGGGGTGTGTCAAATATAATAGTTATAGGCTGTAGTGAGTTGCATTCTAGAGGGTACAGATGCTAGGGTTTCCTATTTGTATCCAACACTTTGCTAGTTCATACATTCAGTTGTGTTTAGATTCAGAGAGACATACCCCAAAAAACAAACTAAAAGCTACAGTGACGCTGGACGCATTTTTGGAAGATCACCCTAAACATGGGAACCTCCTTGTGTTTAGGGTTGATGCCTCCCCAAGGTTTTCGTAAAAACAAATAAAACCCAATCGGAACGGAATTGAATCGGAAAGCATCAACCGTAAACACCAGATGGGTTCCCGTGTTTAGGGTTGATCCCTCCCGAAAAGGCTTCCAGGTTCTTTAGGGGTTTTTTCTTGTTTTTCGGGTGGCCTTTACAGCTTCGGGTAGTTTGGTCTGTTGTCTGTTTGATTTCCGTCAGAATGTATCAGAGACAATAAAATCCGTCAGCTGAACAGTGAGTGAGTGGCGAGCTTGTACCAGGGTCTGTTGCGGCACCTGTGCACAATCCCGAAACAGTGCCAGTAACAGTGCTGGAAAGCTGTTGGGCTCCCACCTGAGCACATTTCCCGTACTGATGGGATTGCACCTGAAAATGGCCCGAGAAGTTGTACAGTTCCGAGCCGCCTCGCCAATCCACCTCCTCGATCTGGCATTCTTGTTTGAAGCACATTTCCAAAGCACAGGTTCCCCCTCCCCTCCGTACCGCAACAACTTTTCAAGCCACTCAAAAGACACCTCTTTTGAGTCCACTCAAAAGGCAACCAATGTCCAGGTGTTGCACCGTGCGTAGGGCCAACACAGATGTGACTATTCAGGTTTGGCGAACCCTGGGCAGCACAAATAAACAAATGCGGGGTAGTGTATGTATTCCTGCATCTATTTACGTGATTTAGCGGGCAAAACTTAACTTGAAGTAAGCGTGAAATGGTTTTCGTCTTGGAGCTGCTGAGATTAAATACTTCGGTCATGTACATCCAATCAAGAACATGGTTTCGTGGTACACCTGATGCCCGATAGATTCCCTCGAGGGTCCCTTGTGCTCTAGGCTAATAACCGATTTTCGTGTTTCGTTGCGTTCGTCAACATCGCCAGGGCCGTCGGGGGCTTTTAAAAGGCACAGGTTGTTACAGGTTTGTTTTTTCCTGTACTGTGTTGGGCGGTGTGCCTTGTTGTTAGCTTGAGCACCCGGGTACCACCTTTTTCTGTATTGTACTAACACATGCGATTACAGTTCTGCTCTCACTTGGTCACAAACACCATCCCCCGCCATCTAGCCAATAGCAGTGCCACAACTGTACCCATGCCACAATCTCGCTAATGCAAACACCGCTGACATTTGACAACAGCCAAATGTGCACAAGGTGTGCACATTTGGCGAAGGAGGAGAAATGCACTCCTCGCAAGGGTCAAATTCCACTTCACAGCCGCATCCACTCTGTGGCAGCCAGATAGCCGCTCATCACGGCGAGAGCTCCGGCATCGATTAGCTCCTGTCGGCGAGCAGACTGGGGAACCCAGTCAGGGGTCGGCACCGTCATCCACGCCGGCAGCACGCGACCACGGCGACGTGGAGTCTCTGCCAGTGGGGTGTCCTCGTGCGACATGGCGGGCAGCGGAGTAGCGTTAAGGTTGAGAGGAGGGCTTGCGCGCTCCATCAGCGCGATGATGAGCGGGTTACGGATGTCAAACAGGGCGCACAGGTCCCGCGGCGTGATGCATGTAGCGCGCGCATAGCCAATGAGCATTTCGCACGCCGCGCGAGCGGTGCGACGTGCTTCACGCGACGCAGGGTTGCTGTCGTCGTAGACCGCCTGCATCGACGCAGGAGCCTCCCACATCTCAGTCGTCGGCGCCGCCCGAGGCTCCACCGCAAGCGGGTCCTCGCTGGGCTCGGCGCACGTCGGCTGGTTGTCATCGATGCCGACAAACTCGCCCGCGGCCATCGCTCCGGACCCGAGGCCGAGCCTGTCGATCAATATCCCGACATCGTTGACCTCCTGCTCAAGGCCGATGTCGCCACCGGTGGCCGCGCCGCTGCCGACTCCTCGCTCCACGTGCGGGAGTTCCATCGCCCACGCGCGCGGGAGACACCCGGTGCGCCACCAGCAACGCTGGATAGTGCTCCGCGGGATATTCATCCACGCGTCATGGAGCCACTCCAGCACGCGACGGAGGTTCGGCCTGAACCTCGCTGCCGCGGATGTCGCGCCGTCTGCGGTCCACATGCCTATGAAGGCGCGGAGCCAATGCTGGCGGTACCGCGCCTTCGTCATGGCGATCAGCCCCTGGTCAAGGGGTTAAGTGAAGCAGGTGGTGTTCGGCGGCAGAAACACCAGGCGCACATTCTTGAGCGCACGCGTGCGGAAACCGAAGAGATCTTCGGTGACGGCACCCTCGGTTGTCAGAGTGTGACTGCTTGCGTTGTCGAGCAGGACTACAATGTGGCGGCCCTTGTCGTACATGGCAGTGTCCAACTGCTCAATGTAGTGCGTGAACAGCTGCCATGCAAGAGGAGGGATTGATACATCAGAAAGGGTTGGGGGGGGGGGGGGGGGGGGGGGATGGGTGTTGTGTCAGGCGGGGGGAGAGCATGATGACAGGATCAATGTCATAAAGAAAACAGTGCGTGCTCGTTCAGCCGCGAGATAAATAACAGTCACTATGACGACTGGATTCACACTCACCGAGGTGGTCATCCATCTCTTGGAGGTGTTGCGCCAGTAGCACAATTCCTCGGGATCGTAATCGGGCCGGAAATCGTGGGGGCGCTTCGCCTTGGAAATGACGAGCGGGCGGAAGGCGTGCGATCCCTCCGCGTTTGTCAAACTTATATGGCATAGTCTGTTTAGGCTGTAGTGGGGTAGACCATATGGGGTACAACACATTTAGGGTTTCCTACTTGTACCCACCTGCTTGCTAGTTCATTCATTCCTCGTTCTTATCTTTCACATGGTTTCAGAGCAGGTTCCCTAGTGGGAACGTTTTTTCTAAGGGCCCACCACGATCGTTTATTTTTTCCTGCCCTGCCCGAAGCGCGCCTCGCGCCTGCCTCACCTGCGCCGTCGCGCGCCCTGCCCTACTGCCGCCCGTAGCGGCCCTGCCCTCTCGGCCCGTCGCGGCCCTGCCCTACCGGCCCATCGCGGCCCTGACCTAGCCGCCCGTCGCGGCCCTGCCCTGACGCCGCCTCGTCGCGGCCCTGCCCTGCTGCCGCCCCGTCGTGGCCCTGCTCTGCCGCCGCCTCGTCGCAGCCCTGACCTACAGCCGCCCCGTTGCGGCCCTGACCTAACCGCCCATCGCGGCCCTGCCCTGCACCCGCCCCTGGTAAGCGCCCCTGCTGCCCGTCGCGTCGCGCGCCCCTGCCGCCCGCCGCGCCGTGCGCCCCTGCAGCCCGTCGCGTCGCGCGCCCTTGCAGCCCGTCGCGTCGCCCGTCGGCCCTGCTCGTGCCCGTCGCGTCGCCAGAGCGGGCTGCCCCAGCCCGCCGCGACGCCCGTCCGCCCTGCCTCCCTGCGCGCCGCCCCTGCCCGCCCCGCGTCGCGCCGCCCCGTGCAAGCCGCCCGCGCGCAGACCCTTGCAGCCCGCGCGCCGCCCGTCTGCAGCCCGCGAGCCTCCCCTGCAGCCCGCGAACCGCCCCTGCAGCCAGCGCGCCTGCCTCTTGCAGCCAGCGCACTGCCCCTGCAGCCCGCGAGCCACCCCTGCAGCCCGCGAGCCGCCTCTACAGCGCCTAGTGCGCCCTGCCAAACCCTAAAATAAATAAATAATTATATATATATATATATAAAAAGAGGAGCCCTAGGTGCTGCTGCCCTAGGAGCTACTGCTTGCTGCTGCCTGCTACTGCCCTGCTCTGGCCGCACGCCGCCCTTCTGGCCGCGCGCCGCCTTTTCCTGACAGTGCGTCGCCTCAACCTACTTTAGTGCCTGTTCGCCGCCCTGCCTTTCCACTATGACGTATTTTCGTGGTAGCAGTGGGAGTGGTGGTGGCGGTGGTGGCAGCAGTGGGAGTAGTGGCGGCGGCCGCAGTGGCAGTCAAGGCGGAGCTGCTCGGTGGGGAGTTTCTGGCGGTGGCCAGATATAGCTCCAGCGACGTCCGCGCGAGACCCTTACGCCCCTGCAGCTGCGTGAGTGGTACGCTCAGAGTAGAGGGTCTCGGAGTACTGCTCGCTGCCCGTACGTCATTCGCACAGGTGATCGGGCTGGTAAGACTTGCGGGACGATAGGTCACACACAGTCTCGCTGCTTCGCCGGTCTGAGCGACGCCTGGCGTACAGAGTTTGGTGACGCGGCTGAGCTCCCCATCTGGGTGGAGCTGCTGACGCAGAGAGTGGATATCTTTGCTCTGGACTTTGATGCTATCCTCACTGCCATGTATGCATTGCCTACTAGTGCTGAGGGTGCCTGTTCCCTGTGTGTGCCGCCCGACCCAGGTATAGAGTCTGCTGCTCTAGGTGCTGGTGAGGCTGCTGCTCTAGGTGCTAGTGAGGCTGCTGCTCTAGGTGCTAGTGAGTCTACTGCTCCAGGTGCTGGTGAGTCTGCTCTCTCTGGTACTGCGCCTGCTGAGGCCTTGCACACCTTCACACTTGACTCAGGTGCTTCCCGCTCCTTCTTTCGCGACAGCACCACACTCACGCCGCTCAGTCGGCCAGTTGCAGTCTCCCTGGCGGACCCCTCTGGGGGCCCGGTCCTTGCGCACTCCTCCACGGTTCTGCCGTGTCCGGCAGTTCCGTCTGGCTCACTGGCAGGTCTTCACCTCCCCTCGTTCTCTACAAACTTGGTGAGTGGAGCTGACCTCCAGGATGTGTGGGTTGACCAGTTCACTCCTGGAGGTCAGCGTGTGACCCACTGTACGTGCTCCCGGACTGGTCGGCACCTGGCCACGTTCACCCGAGCGCCTGGCTCGAGTCTGTACACATTGACTACTGTGTCACCTCAGGTAGCTGCGTCTGCGTCTGCGTCAGGTCAGCTAGCGCCCCCCTGCTCGTGTCGCGCTTTGTCGCACCAGACAGTCCTTTGGCACCACCGTCTTGGTCACCCCTCGGTGCAGCGCCTCCGTGGCATGCACCGACGTCTCCTTGTCTCTGGACTCCCAGAGACTCTGCCTCCTCTCCCACCCTCGCCTGCCCCTCCCTGCCTTCCCTGTGTCGAGGGGCGGCAGCGCGCCGCTCCTCACTCCTCCTCGTTTCCCCCGACGACTGCTCCCCTGCAGACCCTCCACATGGACGTGTGGGGCCCAGCCCGCGTCCATGGACAGGACCGCAAGCGGTACTTTTTGCTGGTAGTTGACAACTACACGCGTTACACCACAGTCTTCCCCTTGCGCACCAAGGGTGAGGTCCCTGATGTTTTGATCCCTTGGATCCGCGCTGCCCGTCTCCAGCTCCGCGAGCCGTTCGGGACGGACTTTCCCATCCTGCGTCTGCACTCTGACAGAGGTGGTGAGTTTGCCTCTGACTTTCTGCGGGATTTTTGTCGTGGGGAGGGCATTCGCCAGACGTTCACGCTCCCGGCCTCACCGCAGCAGAATGGGGTTGTTGAGCGTCGCATTGGCTTAGTCATGGAGGTCGCTCGTACCTCCATGGTCCATGCGGCTGCCCCCCATTTTCTGTGGCCGTTTGCGGTCCGATACGCTGCGCATCAGCTCAACCTCTGGCCCCATGTCTCCTTCCCCAAGACCTCGCCCACCCTGCGGTGGACGGGGAAGGTTGGCGATGCGTCGGTGTTCCGGGTCTGGGGTTCTCGTGCCTTTGTCCGCGATACTACCGCGGACAAGCTCTCCGCTCGCGCTATTCCCTGCGTCTTCCTTGGCTTTGTCCCTGACGCGCCTGGCTGGCAGTTTTACCACCCCACCTCGCGCCGTGTCCTGCCCTCTCAGGACGTCACGTTCGACGAGTCGGTTCCCTTTTACCGTCTCTTTCCCTACCGCACTGCCCCTCTCCCCCCCCCCCGCCGCTCTTCCTTGCACCAGGTCCTCCTCCAGTAGACCCCCTTCCCCCCTCAGGGTCCTGCTCCCTCAGGTGTGTCTCAGGTAGACGCTGACTCTGGTGCTGCTGGGGGTGGTGCTGCTGGGGGTGCTGAGCCTGAGCGTGTGGAGTCTGGGGGTGCTGAGCTTGGGGTTGCTAAGTCTGAGGGTGCGGAGCCTGGGGGTGCTGAGCCTGAGGGTACTGAGCCTGCGGTTGCTGAGACTGGGGGTGCTGAGTCTGCTGGAGGTACTGCTGGTGCTGGAGCTGGAGGCCCTGGAGCCACTAGCCCTGGAGGTGCTGGAGGTAGTGCTGGTACTGGAGGTACTGGAGGTGCTGGAGTTACTAGTCCTGGAGGTCCCACTGGTGCCTCGCCCCAGCGGTCTAGCCGGCGGGAGCCTCTCTCACCACAGCAGTTGCGCGAGTGGTACGCTCGGCGCTGTAGCCTTCGGAGTGGCGCTGCTGGAGCTGGAGGTCCTGGAGCTGCTAGTCCTGGGGGTGGTGCTGCTGGACGTGCTGAGCCTGAGGGTGCGGAGCCTGGGGGTGCTGAGTCTGCTGGAGTTCCTGCAGGTGTCTTGTCACGGCGGGAGCCCCTCTCTCCACAGCAGCTGCGCGAGTGGTACGCTCGGCGCTGTAGCCGTGCTGCTGGAGCTGTGGGGCCTACCGCTGGAGGTGCTGGAGCTACTGGAGGTACTGGAGCTACTGGAGCTGGAGGTACTACTGGAGCTGGAGCTGCTGGAGGTTGTGCTGGTGCTGGAGCTGCCGGAGGTGCTCGTACTGGAGGTACTGGAGCTGCTGGAGCTGGAGCTCCTGGAGGTACTGCTGGTCCCGGAGGTGCTCGTACTAGAGGTACTGGAGCGACTGGAGCTGGTGGTGCTGCAGGAGCTAGAGCTGGAGGTGCTGGAGCTGTTGCTACTAGAGGTTCTGGTGGAGCTGGAGCTGCTGGAGGTGCTGGAGCTGGTGGTGCTGCAGGAGTTGGAGCTGGAGGCGCTGGAGCTGTTGATGCTGGAGGTGCTACTGGTGCTGGAGCTGGTGGTGCTGTGGGAGTTGGAGCTGGAGACCCTGGCGCTGGGGGTACTGGTGCTGTCTCTGTTATTTCTGGAGGCGCTGCGCGGCCGCGCCCGTACTTCGTTCCCCTCCTTCAACAGGTTCTCGGTCTCCCGCCTTCTACTGGTCCTACTCCTCTCTTACTGTGTCCACCGCCTGTCCAGTCGCAGTCGCCGTTACAGTCAGCCTCTCCACTGCCTGGTCCTTCTCCTTACTTTGGGCCGACTAGGGGTCTTACTGAGCGTCGTGAGCCTGAGTCTCGTCCTGCGTCACCTGAGTCTCGTCCTGCGTTGCCTGTTCGCACTGGTCGTGTTCCGCGTCCGCGTCCTTCTGCTGTCCCAGGCACGCACCTGATGGCACTCCATCCTTCCACTGCTCCACAACGTGTCCCTTTGCCGTCTCCTCCTGCGTCCTCTCTTCCTTACGTCCCTGACCCGCCGTCAGATCTTGCTCGTGCTGCCAGTCCTACTGTCACGCGTCTTCTAGCCACTGTTGTCACTGACCCTTCTTTTGAGTCCACTGCTGCGTCTTCCCTAGTTGCTGAGCTTGTTGACTTTGCTGCCGCCTGTCGTCTAGACTACGCCGCTAGTCTTGTTGCTGAGTCTGAGTCTGTCTGTCCTCCGTCCGTCGGGGGTGAGTGTGCTCTTGGCACGGACGTCCTTGAGGACAGGCAGGAGGACTTTGAGTGCTTTGCCGCTGCTTTACCTCATCTCGTGTCCATGCTGCTTGCCCCTGAGGGAGACCCGGATGCACCAGACATTCCGACCCCGCGCTCTTACGCAGAAGCGATAGAGGGTCCCTACTCCTCTCAGTGGCAGACAGCCATGGACGCAGAGATGGCTTCCTGGAAGTCCACAGGCACCTACGTCGACGAGGTTCCCCCACCTGGGGCGAACATCGTCAGTGGCATATGGATTTTCAGGGTGAAGCGGCCGCCGGGTTCTCCGCCTATCTTCAAGGCGCGTTACGTTGCACGAGGCTTCAGCCAGCGAGAGGGAGTTGACTTCTTCCATACCTTCTCCTCTACCACGAAGATGACCAGTCTTCGGGTACTGCTGCACGTCGCTGCTCAGCGTGACTACGAGCTTCACTCTCTTGACTTCAGCACAGCCTTCCTACAGGGCAGCCTGCACGAGGAGATCTGGCTGCGCCGCCCACCTGGCTTCACTGGGTCGTTTCCTGCTGGTACCCAGTGGAGCCTCCGGCGGCCAGTCTACGGTCTCCGCCAGGCGCCCCGAGAGTGGCACGACACACTGAGGACGACTCTTGCGGCTCTTGGGTTTGCTCCTTCTACTGCTGACCCGTCGTTGTTTCTACGCACCGACACCTCTCTGCCGTCGTTCTACGTCCTCGTGTACGTTGACGACTTGGTTTTTGCTACTGCTGACACTGAGGGACTCGCCCATGTGAAGTCGGAGCTGCAGAAGAGACACACGTGCACAGACCTGGGTGAGCTGCGCAGCTATCTTGGCTTGCAGATCACCCGGGACAGAGCACAGCGCACCATTACCTTGACTCAGTCACACATGGTGCAGCAGGTCCTTCAGCACTTCGGCTTCACGTACTCCTCGCCACAACCCACTCCTCTGCCTACTCGCCACTCGCTCTCAGCTCTGCCTTCGGATGAGTCCGTAGAGCCGAGTGGCCCGTATTCAGAGCTTGTGGGCTGCCTCATGTACCTGATGACCTGCACTCGACCTGACCTGGCATACCCTCTTAGCATCCTGGCACGCTATGTTGCTCCTGGGAGACACCGGAAGGAGCACATGGATGCCGCTAAGGGGGTGTTGCGCTACTTGTGCAGTACGTCGGGCATGGGGCTCGTGCTTGGAGGACGGGCTCGAGTTGTCCTCACTTGCCACGGAGACGCTTCCTGGGGTGACGACCTGGCTACGCAGCGGTCGTCACAGGGTTACAATTTCAGCCTTGGCTCCGGCTCTGTTTCGTGGCGGTCTACCCGCTCGTCTTCTGTTCTCAGCTCCAGCTGTGAGGCTGAGATCTACGCAGGGGTCATGGCTGCACAGGAGTTACGCTGGCTCACCTACCTGCTGACCGACCTGGGAGAGCCGCCTCGTTCTCCTCCAGTTCTGTACGTCGACAACAAGGCCATGATTGCCTTGTGTCAGGAGCACAGACTGAGCACAGAACGAAGCATATCGCTCTGCGCTACTCCCTTGCTCGAGAGTTGCAGCAGCTTGGTTAGCTTCGTCTCGCTTACGTGGCCACTCATGCCAACACTGCTGATATCTTCACCAAGGCACTTCAGCCTTGTGATCATCAGCGTTTCTACACTGTTCTAGGCCTTGTGCCCACCTGGCCTCACTTGCTCACTTCTTGACTTTCCTTGTACTGTGATCTCTATACATATACCTGCATGCTTACACTTGCTAGGTTGTGATCACTGTATTGCTTGTTCTCCTTTATATAACTCTGCATGTGAACTGGCCTTGTGGCCATTTGCTTGTGCTCAGAATGCGTGGTGACTTCGTGATCCACCCTGAGCTTGCTTTGCTTTTCTTGACTGGTCTTGTGACCTCTTGTTCTCCCCCACTTTGCCTATGGTGGTGTGTCAAACTTATATGACATAGTCTGTTTAGGCTGTAGTGGGGTAGACCATATGGGGTACAACACATTTAGGGTTTCCTACTTGTACCCACCTGCTTGCTAGTTCATTCATTCCTCGTTCTTATCTTTCACAGCGTTAACCAAGAATCCGACGGCAAGGCGTTCCTTCGCGACCTTCCGCCCAGCCGACCGGCCAGTGCCGTAAGTCTTGCGTGGAAGCACAGAGATGTACAACGCCGTCTCGTCGAAGTTGAACGTATCACGCGGGCGCACGCCGAGATGCATAAGAAGCTGCGGGAGCTTCTCCTTAGTGGTGCGGACGGCGTTCATGTCCTGGTCGGCCGCTTCGCCGACGGCGCTCATGCACCTGACACCCTGGCGGCGCAAGGCACGGCGCACCCAGCCGATAGAGCAGCGAAATGTCGCCGGCAGTCCTTGCGTACGAGTCATGGTTGCGACATGGTCGCGAATTGTCGCCAGGGTCAGCGGAACGCCAGCGGGGCCCGCATTGGCAATCCAGCGTGCCATTGCACGCTCCAGCTCCGGGTATGCCCCGCCACGCACGCGAATGGCGTCGACGGCGTCGTCCGGGATTCTCCATCGATCGGCACTCTTCAAAACGCGGCCGATGGTGGATCGGTCGGGCCGTACCCCAACGCGCGTGAAACACCAACGCGCAAGGTCAACATGGCGGAGGAGCGGGTTAGCAACATGGTGGGCGCAAATGGCCCTCTTGATTTGCAGCGCAAGCTGAGAGCGATGGTAGAGACGAGGCATGGTGTGCCTCAGAGAGTAGAAGGAAGGATGAGATAGTGGTGATTGTCGAGAGGATTTATCTCAATGTGTTGTGCTCGCATCGGCATGGAAGGAGGGTGTGTGCAACAATTCGCACTTGGTGACGGCGTCACAATGTGCACATGCACGTGGCTTCATTTTTAGAGGTTGGGCTACCATGTAACCACAACCATGAAGAGTGATGTGTAATGCTTGCAGACTGAGAGGCTCTCCGGGGGAGTGTACCGAGCAAGGGCAAGGTACAGGTGGCGTTCTTCACACGGCCACAAACTGTTAGACGCACCTGGTTCTGTCAAACGTGGCATGACGTAACGGGTCATTCCATTGGCGACGTTTTCCGAGTTTCGTCCAGTCATTTCGTAGACTCTGTTTCTGGCCTAAAAACAAGGACTGTCCCGGACGACTGCTGTTGTTTTTACCGAAGTATGCAGTTTTGGGAGTATTCACCAGGTGGATGCAAGTTGTCTCAGGTGCCTATACACAAGGTGCAACATCAGGGCAAAAATCCCACGGGTGTAAGGTTTCCAAAATGTGCGAGGCAATTTCGCGTGCAGTGGTTGGGCATCGTGTGTACACCCTGTTTCGCGCCACACTGACATTCGCTGTATTGACATGCCGCTTATTCTGACATCAACGCGTCCAAAACTGTCCCTGAACATAGCATATAAGCACAATTCGCCGCAATCAACCGTACCCGATAGCATTGTTTCTTTCACAAACCGTTGTGTATCGTTCTCCTGGACTGCATTTGCCCGCCACCTACCTGGGGTTCGGTTGCAAGCACCAGCCCGCAAAATCCAAGCACACGTTCGCACTGTAGCCGGGGCTCCCAATTGTCCGAACGTTGAGAAACAGGGTGTAGTACACTTATTAGCTGCTGGCATCCACGTGCCAAATGTATCTGCGTCTCCATCCAGCGGACTCGCAGGTGTAACCAGATGTCTGAGCCACGTCGAACAGCTTCCGCTTGCAAGGGTTGTGAGGCGCGCAGCAGGAACGACGAAGACAGACGACGCACCAACCCCAACCCAATCCGTCCTGCGGAGGGGCAAGGGTTTCTGTATGGCACGCCGCGGTCGTACGAGGCGAGCGATGTGCTTGCTGTGGACTGCGCTTATACCGCGTATGGGCGTGCCAGGCAAGTGATGCCCGTGCAAGAGTTCCCGTAAAGCGCTTACTGCAGGTGTATCGTACGGTGGGCTGGTTTCGTTTGTAGTTACACCTCGATATGCTCGCTAGCAGGCATCGATCTTGCAACATCAATGTACACTGTACACTATAAACATTGAATATTCTATACATCTTACTATTGGCTTGGATGCTGGCAAGGCAAAACTTACAATTATATCAGACCTATCTGCTCCTGTTCTGTTGTCAGCATTTCACTGACTAGTATCAACATAAACCTAGGGGGGTATCGGAACCCATACCTACCTACCCCCACCTTGACCTTTACTCTCCATACCTCATGGATTTAGGAACACATTCTCTATCAGGCTTTCTTGTTTGAAGCAGTGTTGTTCGGAGGAGAGTATCTCAGCACCGCCACGTCATCAACCATCACAGACCCTATCCACAGCTTCCCCTTCCTCTCCACCACCTCACTCGCTGCCGCCACGTTCCGCCCAAGCTTATCCTCCAGCACGTCTGTTATCACCCCGTTATTGTCAACCTCCACTATAATCCCGTGTGACAGCCCCACTGCTGCCACGTAGGCTGCCTGCAGCCCCACTGGGTCGTTGAGAAGCATGGATCGCGCATAGGGGCTCCTTGCTAGAACCGCTGTGGAAGGAGCAGTGAGATGCGCGTGAAAGGGATAAGAATTAGGTTCTAGTTGGTGGCAGTGAAGTGAACACACGGAAACACGTAGGCTGCCTGCAGCCCCACTGGGTTGTTCAGAAGCTTTTACCGGCTTAGGGGCTCCTTGCTAGGACCTCTGGGTGTATGACATGGGTATATGACAGAAAGAGAGCTGGCTGCTAGTTACCGGACATGGGTGTGCGTCTCGAGTTGATTGCGATCCAGAACCTCCCCCTGGGGTTGAGGCTCACGTTGTCAGGATACCCGGGCAGGTTCACAAACATTTCCGCCTTCCCCATTTTCGGCCCTCGGATGAAGTACCGAAGACACCTGCAATGAACAAAAGATTGGCCCGGCATTGGAATGGGAAGGAGACGGTAGATTCATGGGAGAGCTTTAGCCCGTGAAGTGGCACAACGTGCAACCATGAACCCTGTGGCATGTTCCTTTCTGCTGACACGAAAACAAGATCAAAGAGCCATGAGTCAGCAAGGGCAAGGGCACCAGCAGTCATCGTAGCACTAGCAGAGCACAGCCACTCACCGCATGTAGCTGGTTTCACAGAAGACAACGAACGTGCGGTCGCGGGAGAGAGCAACGCCATTGGCGAACGCCACTCCCTTCACCAGCACCTTGGTCTGGCCTGTTGCAATGTCGTATTGCCAGGAAGAAGTCCCTGCAGGGAGTAAGGGTACGGGGTGGAGATTATAGACGAGAGGGGCACAGGTTGGTGGAGGGTTGGTGGGTGGATGGGAATCATGGAGAGCAGAAAGGGTATGCAGAACGCCTTTCCCTTCACCATGACATTCGCTGCCCCTGTTGCAATGTCATAACTCTCCTTGAGGCGCCTGAAATATGTCCCAAGTCAATGCAAGGCAACTCACTTCCTTTGCCACCGAGTGCTGCCATCGGTGAAATACACGACGCCGTTCTTCCCATCCGCGTCAACATCAAGGTCGTTGGTCATCAGCATCCTCTGCCCCTCCCCCACGTCTCAAGCCAGTCAAATGACAAACGTGCATGTGCACTCACTTTCTTTGCCACCGGGTGCTCCCATCTGTGAAATAAACGACGCCATTCTTCCCATCCGCGTCAACATCAAGGTCGTTGGTCATCAGCATCCGCTTCCCCTCCACCACATCCACCAGCCTCTCCGCCTTGCCCCCGCCCGGCCCTACTCTGTGCAGCCCAAAGTATGCGTCTGCGAAGTACAGGTCGCCCGTGGTTGGGTGGAAGCGCAGACCCAAAGGCCGCCCGCAGATGGGCTCCATGCTGCTATTAGTGGTACTGCTGGCCTGGCACCGCTCCTTGGACCTGCGGGGGAGGAGTGGAGAGAGGGGACGCGTGGCAAGTGAGAGGGGGTGTGCCTTTTAGACGTCTCAAAAACGGCCAAAGATGGGCTCCATGCTGCTGTTAGTGCGGCTGCTGTTGGCCTGACATCGCTCCCTGGACCTGGGGGAAGGGGGTGGAGCGTGGTGTCTGTTTTTGAGGCGCCTCAGGAATGAAGGTCCCCATGCTGCTGTTAGTGCTGCTGGCCTGACATCGCTCCCTGGACTCGGAGAAGGGGGTGGTGCTAGGCCAGCAGCACCCCTCTTGGAGAAGGCGCGTGGTGAGCGGAGACGCACGGTGAGCGGAGACGCGTGGTGAGTGAGAGAGGGGTGTCAGGGAGGTGAGTCGACTGTGGGGAAGTCCATCCAAGAGTCTCCCATCGCATGTTGTCTTGGGAGCGTCTCACAATGCTGCCGTCGCTCACTGACGCGTACACAGCAGATCGACTCACCACTTGCAAGACCACGCGCACGAGCACAGCACAATGATACCCTTCAATGGGGAATCTTAGAATATATTGCATAATTTTTTAGAAGACCTGAAAGGTTCCTGCTGGGCTCACCACTTGGGGGAAGCCCACGCGAATGTCTCCCATCGCATGTTGTCTTTGGACCGCCTCACAACCCTGCCGTCGCTCACTGACGCGTACGGGCCGCGCCCAGTTCCGTCCCATGCCAGACTCTCCGGTCCTGTTGCTTGCCCTGTGTACCTGCGGAGCGCAATGGAAGAATCAGCACGCCCGGGTGACTTAATGGAGTGATTCCAAATGCAGCTCTGTCCCATGCAAGCGTAAGCAGGCCCGTCAGCCTGCCTTGAGTAACGGTTTTGAGACGTCTCAAAACTAGTAAGCAGGCCCGTCAGCCTGCCTTGAGTAACGGCGACGAAACGAGATGTTGGCACGGGTACAGCAGTAAGGTTGTGAGACCTCTAAAAGTACGGGCTCCAACCAAACGTCTGTCGTGGCCGTAACTGCCAGGAAAACGGGAATTGTTCCCTCCGACAACCAAATGTTGCTGCCAGATATGTTCAACACAAAAGCTTCGACGGAGCTGCAATGTATCGAAATCTCTGAAAAGTAGCTGCTTCGTTAGATGCCTGCGCACCTTCGTTCCGCGAGAGCGAGACGGTTCTCGCTGTCAAACTTTAGGGTTAGCGGAGCTAACGGGATGGATGCCGGCTTGAACTTCGAAGGGTCAACTGTGGGAAGCTCTACAGTTGTAGTCGCGACGACGCCATGAGAGATGGGCTGGAGAATAACTAGTAAACAGAGAGAGAGGAGAACGATATTGGAAGAGCCTCGCCACATTCTGTTTCAAAATCGTTCAGCTGCTTGAACCGGAGTGTCCTTCGTGCAGAAGCTCTCGATAAGGCGACAACCAGCTTAGCGATGCCTTGCGCACAGCTCGTTGAAGGATCTGATGCTTCTTTCCGTTACTTGGAAAAGGCAGAAGCACAGAGAGTATGGAGGTCGATGGCCGATGCTCCATGGCAGCTGTTAGCTAATCTGTTCGGTCCTCCTCGTAGGTGAGAAATCACAGGTGGTGCTCAGAAGTTCATCCAACGGTGACGCGCGTCACGGGATGGAAACTGTCGGTTTCGATTTGTCGGCAATGCCTTGGAGTTTGGGGGGTACTGGACATGCCTTGGAGTTTGGGGGGAATCTGACTGGCTGGGTCCAATTTGTTTCGAACCGCATTCCCAAAATGCGAGGCAGCATTCTTCGCGCGGGCTCCCATGAAGTTGGGTGGTTGGAAGCGCCGCGGGAATTGTGGTGGTGGGGTTTCGCAGCAACGGTATCGCTGCAGTCATATTCTCAACAGATTACAAGCGCGTATCCACCTGTTGCGTGACTCGTACCTGATCAGAGTTTAAATTTACCATACACAGTGAGTTGTCAATGTTAATCCACAATCACTTCATATGTGCTCAACAGATTCACAAAACAAGCAAGCCTATGTAAGTTAATCGTATTAGCAATAAAGCTATTGCTAATCCTAGACTGTGCAGCGCCATCAAGCTTAACTTATTCCTAACATAGAATCACTACGGCCACTTGAGGGTAGCAATATAGTCCTCAATAACTGAGCCCAACCACAGTTTCCCATCATGCTCCACGATCTCACTCACATCCTTCACCACCTTCCCGTTCTTGTCCTCGAGCAAGTTGGTGATTTTGCCATCCGCATCTACCTCCACCACAATGCCACTGGCCCTCTGGTCCTGTGTGGCCTTCACAATCTTGTACCCAAGCTTGTTCTCCACAAATGTCTCCCGGATGAAAGGGGTTTGAGATGCAACAGCTGTGGGAGTGGAGGGGTGAAGGGAATGGAGTAACCGGATTGCATGATTGGGACGAGCTTCATGCAGCTTTTGTTGCGTAGGCCCACAGATGAGCAGGGACGAGCCGAACAACACTGGTCACAATGAGGAGTGATAGGATGAGATGAGATGAGATGAGATGAGGCGAGCAGGAACTGAGATGTGTTTTGAGGAGTGGGTGCAGAGCGGTATATTTGGTTCCAGAATGATCAACAGCCAGGACGTACTTGCTGTGGGAGACCTCCTCGAGTTGAGTGCGATCCAGAACCTTCCCCTGGGGTTGAGACTGAGATTGTCTGGGTACCCGGGCAAGTTCACAAACACCTCCTTTTTCCCTGTGTTTGGGCCTCGGATCCAGTACCGGTGGCACCTGAAAGAGCGAGAAGGATGAATTAAGAGGGCGTACATGATGTGATATGCACATTCTCGTGAAAAACACTCAAGCAGCACGGTTGTGAGAAGCAAACGAGAATCGCACACACATCACCAGCCAGCAGCGCACCTGAGGAAGGTCGTTTCGCAGTACACCACAAACGTCTTATCCTGCGAAATAGCCACGCCGTTCGCGAACGCCACCTTTTCGTCAATCACCGTCGTCACGCCGCTCGCGATGTCGTACTTCATGAACCGCCCGTCCTTCCGGCCTTCCAGCGTGAGTGGGAGGAAATCGCGGCGGTACCAGCGCGAGCTGCCGTCCGTGAAATACACGACATTCGCGTCCACGTCAATATCTAGGTCATTCGTCATCATGAATTTTCTCCCGTCGAGTGCGGAGACGAGCTTCGTCGCCTGCCCTCCCGCGGAGCTGACTTTATAAAGGCCGAAATACCCATCCGCGAAATAGAGGTCCCCGGTAGTGGGGTGAAACGCCAGGCCGAGTGGCCGCCCGCAGGTGGTTTCCAGCTCGGGGTTGGTTTTCTTCGAGTTACATTTCGCCGCAGTTCGCAGCGGCGACGCGTACGTGAACTCCTCCCAGGCGCTGTCGTCGTCCGTGCGTCGCATGATTCGCCCGTCGCTGAAGCTGACGTACGGGCCCTTGCCGTTAGGGTCCCATGCAATGCTCTCCGGGCCTGCCATCTCGCCCTCGTACCTGGGGAGAGCGGGGGACGAAACGGTTGTTTTTCAGCCGACTTATAAAGTCACCTCGTGGCATTGTCACATGGCACAGATTCTGAGGCGCCTCGAAGGTCTCACGCTATTCTATCGGGGCCTGCGAGCACGGGACTCGTATGTGGGGAGTGAAGGGGACCGGGGACCGAAAGGTGGTGAAAGGAGGGCATGAATCTACGTAAAGGTCACCCACCTCATAAAGGTGAGGGAGAGGGTACACGGGATGATGAAAGTGGGTTATAAGTGCTGCAGAATCTGTCACGTGTTCGCAAATTTTGGCACTCGAATAAGAGAATCGGGTTGGTGGGAAAGGATGGTCGGGTGGATAGATGGGAGGTGGTGGTGGCGGGAGGGACACGCAGGGGCTTATGCATGTTTATTATACAGTTTCTTGTGACCCTTGCAGAGGTGATAAACACATACGAGAAGCCAGCGGGGCAACTCACCGCGTAATAACCTCAAGCCAGAACAAGAGGAGCGCGAAGGTTAGGGGACTCGTGTAATTCTGTTTTTGTTGTGCTTTTTCAAAAGGGAAAATAAGTTTTGGATCTAGGAAACACAAACAGACTGGCGCTTACCTCTTGGTGGCTCGTGCGAGTCGGTTCTTCTTGTCCGTCCTTGGAAAGAGCTTTGCAGGAGGAAGGTTTACTCGCGCGGCCTTGAACTTCTTAGACCACCGCTTCGTCAGCCCCGCCTCGGCATTCCCAAGACTGCCCAGCGCCACTAGCGCAACGATCAGGCATGCTAGGAGCAGCAGCCCGCTAATTCGGCTCGCCATGAGGTATCAAGAATCAAGTTGGTGCGTCGACTTGATTTCGTAGGCGCCTTATAAAGACCGAGAGTCACGTAGGAAGGAGGTTTGTCTGGCTTTGAGGATACCAAGCAAAGTGGAGGCTCGAAGCTCCAGAGAAGTTCCTGACGTTATCACTAGAACTGTCAAAAGCAGCACGTGACGTCCTTATTTCTGTCGTTTACAGTGTCTCAATTCTCGTCGATAGGCCACGATGCTTCACTTGTTATTTGCACAATGACAGTCTGGGTCTACGGACAGCTGCAGTTGGCAGTGCGGCAAATGGACAAGAATACGCAAATGGATGCGCTTCCGTGTACGGAGCCGATGGTATTGCAGGGCAACGATGAAATACTGGCGTGAAATTGATGGCTGCCAATCCCAACGTTTCCGCCAATGTTTCCGTTCCTAGTCTTCGATGGTTGTGAAGGCTGGTCTGTTCCGCCTCACCTCTGACATCCATCGGATTTCAGTTTTGGAAAGTTGCAAGTGAATTTTGGCGGGGAGGATGGGGAGTTGGTACGGTGCGCACTTTTGAGTAGGGGGATTGGGAGGACACTGGGGGTGATTGGTTTGTTCCGTGACATCGAGTCGCGAGCGGTCCGAGTTTCGGAATTTACGAATTGGTCGGCCAGAGCAATGTCGGTGCGAGATTCAGCGGCATACGCTACACAAAGTGAGTCGTTACTTCGGCCAACAACCTTCTCTGCTACGAGATTGAAGTATGAAGTTAAACATCATTATCTGCTCTTGCTGGAGAGTTAGTCACCTTGCATTATAGTTCACTGTTCCAACAAAGTCGTTGAGAACAGATCCTAACCATAGCTTGCCTTCTCTTTCCACCACCTCACTTAGCTGCTTTATTCTCTTGCCCTTCTTGTCCTCAAGAATATCAGTTATCTTCCCGTTTGCATCCACCTCAACTAGTATTCCACTCGCTAGGCGTTCTGAAGTGCCCACAGCGAAATTGTACCCTGCCTGTTGTTTCAACACCGTACCTCGAATGATAGGAGTCCTCATAAGTAAAGCTGCCAGAGCCAAACCACACAGGTTGGAGTGAGGGAGCGAGGGGGAATGGAGAATTGGGTGATAAGGGTCAGGAGGTCGGAAAGAGGTTGAAAGGGTTGAGAAGATCAATTAGATCATGCGATCAATTTTTGTACACCTTATTGAGCCTCTGCGCCGTGAGATAAAGGGCTACCAGTGTCAAACGCCTTTAGATATCATGTGGTAACATCTACCTCACCTCCTTGCAACATCACTGCATGACCATACTCAAACCAGATGCACACATGAAACAAGGGCCATGTCATAACCAATCGCCTTTCAAGCCATGCAGCACCCAGAAAAAGAGCACGTGCCATGCAACGTTCATTGAGCACATTAGGGTCGTGCTTGCAGGTAAAAATCAGTCCCAAAGGCCTCACGTGTTACAAGCGAGTTTTGAGGCGCCTGAATAACACTCCAGACGCATGTTGTCACCTGTTACAAGCGAGTTGCGCGAGTTGAGTGCGATCCAGAACCTCCCCCTCGGGTTGAGGCTGAGATTGTCAGGGTAACCGGGGAGTTTAACGAAAAGCTCCTTCTTCCCAGTCTTTGGGCCTCGAATCCAGTACCTGTGACACCTGAAGCATGGACGCGAGAGGGAAGGAGAGCGAGAAACGGACAAGGGAATGGGGAGGGATGGAAATGGAGAGGAGAGAGGGGAGGAAGGGGGTTGGAACAAGGCATAGATATGACATGTCACGGACAAAACAAAGCAGGAAAACGATAGGTGCAAACAGGAGAAGATAAGGTCAGAAAAGGTTCAAAACAGAAGCCGATAACAATACAGGCTGACAAAAACGAATCCACCGGTACAGCTCACCTGAGGTAGGTCGTTTCACAGAAGACGACAAACTTTTTGTCCTGTGAAAGCGCAACACCGTTTGCGAACGCGACCTTGTCCACAAGCACAGTGGTCTTGCCCGTCCCAATGTCATACTTCATAAAACGCCCATCCTTGCGCCCCTCCAGCAGTAGGGGGAGGAAGTCCCTGGCAACAGATTCACAAGACGCATAGACTATGTGGATACATGTGTATGTGTAAATGACCTTGTCTACAAGCACAGTGGTCGTGCCTGTGTCGATGTCATACTTCATAAAGCGCCCATCCTTGCGCCCCTCCAACAGCAGTGGGAGAAAGTCCCTGGCACCAGGTATGGGTATGAGTGTGCATATATATGAATACGTACGTGGGAACACTTCATAAAGCGCCCATCCTTGCGCCCCTCCAGGAGCAGAGGGAGAAAGTCCATGCCAACAGAAATGTATACGTATGTGTATTTGTCTGTGTACTGATGATGCGTATGAATATAAGATAGCCTTGACTACGAGCACAGTGGTCTCGCCCGTGCTGATGTCATACTTCATAAACCGCCCATCCTTGTGCCCTTCAAGCAACAGAGGAAGAAAGTCCCTGCCATAAGAGAAGTGGATATAGGGTTTGTGTATGTGTATATGTGTATACGAATACACCCTCCAGCAGCAGAGGGAGGAAGTACCTGCCTCGGTTGTCACACCACAAGACATACACACAATGTGCAAATATGTGTGCGTATGCAGTGACCCTGTGTGGTGACATACATACAAGCACATATGCCGTCTATGCCGATGTCATGGTCTTCAGTGACAATGACATAGCCAGCATTGGAGGTGACTTTTGAGTCGACTCAAAAGTCACGTTGTCATGGTCTTCAGTGGCAATGGCATAGCCGGCATTGGCATCGGCAACGGCATCAATGTGAAGGTCGTTGCACATCATCATGCGCGTCCCATCCACCACTGAGCCCCCCACCCACGCACAATGTATGAGCATTGTAGGTGGGGAGGAGCCCCCCACCTGTGCTCCACATGTGCTCCACATGCAAGGCCACATTGTTCCCATCCCCACCTGCGCGCCCATCTTGAGCTGGAGTCGGTAAAGTAGACCTCATTAGGATCGGCATCGATGTGAAGGTCATTGCACATCATCATGCGGGTCCCATCCCATCCACCTGTGTGACCTGTGAGCCCTTCTGTACCCGCCCCACCTGCAAGCCCACCTGTTACCCTCCGCATGCCATGCTCTCCCCACCTGCGCGCCCATCTTGAGCTGGAGTCGGTGAAATAGACGACATTAGCATCGGCATCAATGTCAAGGTCGTTGCACATCATCATGCGCGTCTTTCATTTCCGTAACCTGTCAGTCCCTTATCTGCCTGCAAACCCCCCACCCACAAGCCCACCTGTTACTCTCCCCACCTGCGAGCCCATCTTGAGCTGGAGTCAGTGAAATAGACCACATTTGCATCGGCGTCAATATCAAGGTCGTTGCACATCATCATGCGCGTCCCATCCACAACATCTACCAGCTTCGTCGCCTGCCCGCCACTGCTGCTCACCTGGCAAGAATGATAATGATCACACGACCATGATCCCTGGTAAGACTGCGGTTCCAGGAGAGGAACAGAACAGCAGGCAAATAGGAGAAATGAGACCAAAAAGCGTTTTGAGTCGACTCAAAACACGACTTACGATCCCTGGTAAGACTGCGGTTCCAGGAGAGGAATAGAACAGCAGGCAAATAGGATAAATGAGACCGAGAATAAAAGGGCATGCACAAACAGAGTGATGCCGATCTCCTAGGCAAATGGGTTATGGATACATGCACATGATCATGCACCATCCATGCCATCCATACCATCCATGCGATCTGTACCATCCATGCCATCCATGCCCTTCATCCATATCACCCTCCTACTCTACTCATACACCAGTTTACCATCCCCAATCGACACGTGCAGATTCACTGAGGCTCATGAGACTTCTTATATCGAGGACAGAGTGTTTCTCACCTTGAAGAGCCCGTAGTAAGCGTCAGCAAAGTACAGGTCCCCGGTGATGGGGTGGAAAGCTATTCCCACCGGCCGGCCGCATTTGTCCTCTAGTGCGAGCTTCGCGGTGCGCGAATCGCACAACGTCGAGGTTCTTGCAAAAAAACGTGGCAGTAACGAGAGTGAAAAAAGGACAGGCAGGGGAAAATAGCCACAACTCCTCGCACTCACGGCCGGGGTAAAGCGCTTGATTCATGCTCACAGCTGCTTCCCTGGCACTCGCACTCACAACTCCTGTGAGGCATGAATTGAGCTTCTAGACGTCTCAACTGGGAGCCCGAAAGAAATGCGGCCTTCCTGCAGTGAACCGAGCTTCGAGAAGTCACTCACGGTCACGTACGGCCCTCCTGCTAACCTTGCTCACTGCTGGAGACTCCTGAAAAAACTCATAACAGATTGAACCAAGCAACCGTCCCAGTACCTGTGCGGCGAGGCATAGGTGAACTCCGCCCAGTCGCTGTCGTCCGCCTTCCTTCTGAGAATGCGCCCGTCTCTCACACTCACGTACGGCCCTCGCCCACTCGGGTCCCAAGGCCCTGCAAAGCTCACAACATGCCAAGCCAAGGAGAAACCTTCCCAGTACCTGTGAGGCAGCAAGGGCCCAGTACCTGTGCGGCGAGGCATAGGTGAACTCCTCCCAGTCGCTGTCGTCCGCCTTCCTCCTGAGAATGCGCCCATCGCTCACACTCACGTACGGCCCTCGCCCACTCGGGTCCCATGCAATGCTCTCAGGCCCTGTGGCCTGACCCACGTACCTGGTGCCTCGAAAGGGGAGGAGAAACGGGGAAATGGGGAAAGGCGGAAAGTGGGAGAAGGGGAAAGGAAAGGGGGGGGTTATGACGGTGAGAGGGGTATAGAGTGGTTGGTACGTGTTATAACCTGCCCGTCACTCACACTCACGTACGGCCCTCGCCCACTGGGGTCCCATGCAATGCTCTCAGGCCTAGTGGCTTCACCCACGCACCTGGGAATTCGGGACGGGGGCAGGCAGGGGAGAAAGGGGAGGTGGTTGCGGTAAGCAGGGTGGTAGGCGTTTTTATCCGCCCATCACTCACGTACGGCCCTCGCCTAGTGGCTTCACCCACGCATCTGGTCATATAAAACAGGAGAATTAGGTTACGGGAAACGGGGGAAGGGAGGCGGAGGGGGACGGAGAGTACGCGGCTTGGATCAACAAGATAATTCGACTAACCTGGGACAAACTAAGATACTGGATCCGACAAACTAAGGCCAACCAAGTTCAGCTGAGGCCTTCTAAGAACATTTACCGACGGGTGGTCTTGGCGAGTCGATTCTTCTTGTCTCCCATCCTGCCAATCAGCTTCGGCAGCGGCACGCGCACGCGAACTGGCCGGAATTTGTTCGCCCACGAGGTCCTACGCGCTACAGCGGCGCGTACAGGACCGTCGGGAAAGGGCGACGCGAGGAATACCATAGCGAGGACGAGAAAGAGCGGGGAAACGTGAAGGAAGACACCCGAGGGCCTCTGATGCTGAAGGTGCCGTTTCGCTGACTGTCTTAGCGGCTTCGCTGAATGTCGTCGTGGCATCTCTGAACGTAGCTGTCGCTTCGCCAATTGTTGCTGTCGCGGCCATCCGGGACGCTGTCGCATGGCTGGAAGAGAGCAACAAGATGGCATGGCGAAGTCGAACAGTCCTTCGGACGGGTTACGGGTCAGGCTGTACATTCGGTTTCTCTCATTCCTCGTGTCAATCAGGCCGCAGGGATGTTAATTTGTGGTAACACCAGCGTTATCTTGAGACTGAAATCATACATTACCTACAATAAGTACGGAAAGTTGTGACGCGGGCTGAATTTTTTTTTATACTGTAGTGTTAGCAGGAGAGACGGAACCCAATGGGATCTACTTAGCCGCAGCGCGAAATGGTGGGTCAGAAAGTAGTACAGAAAGAGGTACCGAAGCTGGAGGTGTCAGAATGTAAGTGTAAGCGATAAGAGTACAGATCTGGAAACATGATCATGGGGATGCACAGCAAAAGCTTGGATACTTCATGATGACGTATCCAATGGGAAAAACAGTTTTACGTCTAGGGTCCCAAAGCATGAGGTTATTCGTTTTTTTCTTCGGAGAGAATTGGAACGAATGTTAAATGGTTTTCAATCTTTCAAAGCAAGGCTGACAGAAAATATATTGTTTCACAAAATCAATCAAAACAATTATCTTTACAGATGGAAGTCTAGTGGTTGCTCCTAAGATGGAATTGAATGCAATCCAGCCCACCGTAGAATACACCTGCAATTAGCGCTTTACGGGAACTCCTGCACGGGCATCACCTGCCTGGCGCGCCCATATGCGGTATAAGCGCAGTCCACAGCAAGCACGTCGCTCGCCTCGTACGACCGCGGCGTGCCATCCAGGAATCCTTGTCCCTCCGCGCCATCGGCGGAGATCGGACGGTGCAGGCTCGCGATCAGCTTCTGGAAGTCCGCGGCGCGCTGCGAGTGGTCGTCGCGGTACGTCTGTCCGAGCACGCCGCGGATCGCGTCTGTGTGCTCGAGCTCGGCAATCCCGACGTTGATGTGCGCCTCGGCGTCGCTCGGCGTCTGCAGCTTCGGGTGCGCAACGCGCAGGCGGAGGTCGAGCGAAATCAGGCCGTCGATCGTCAGCAGGTAGTAATCCACATCGAACGGTCCCTCCTTCTCCAGCCCGCGGAACTGGATCGTCAGCCCGCCGTCGCTCGTCACGCTGTCGCCCACCTGCATGCGCGGGATCGCCTCGCCGTCAATCTCGATGCTCTTCACGAACCCGTCGCCGCGCTCCTGCTGCTTCCCGCCGCGCGCCGCGATGCGAACCTTGTGGTCGACGCCCTTAGCGGTCCAGATCATACCGAGCTCCTTAATCCACGTGTGCACGGCCTTGCCGTCGACGACGAGCGCCGCGTTGTCGGTGCGCTCGTCGTAGTACCCGCGCAGCAGCATGTTCACGTGCAGGTCGCGGTCCGTGAGCAGGCAGAAGGCCTTGTCGGGGCGGCCGTTGAAGTCGAAGTGCGTGCCGTGCGCGCCCACCAGATGCGGGTCGTTGAGAATCTTGGCGCTCGGGTTGCACTCGCCGCCGATGCGCACCTGAAGCGGCACGGGCTTCGTCTCCGTGCTGTACTGCGCGGTCATCTCTCCGCACGTGAAGTCGATCTGATCGTGGATCAGGTAGCACGCGCCCTTGCCCTTCTTCCCGTCGATGGTAATATCGGGAATGTACTGCCAGTACGTGCACAGCGGCGTCGCGGCGCACGTGTTGCAGCACGACGCGGGGTTCGCCTTGAGCAGCGTGAGCGGGTTACCCGGCACGTACAGCTCGTACCCGAGCTTGTTCTTCTGCAGGTACGCCGTCTTCCACTTGGCGGCAATGCCGCCCTTGGAGCAATTCTTGGGCGTGCACGCGCCCGCCAGCTCCTTGTTCAAACCCGGCGGGCATTTCTGCGCGTTCCACCCGGCCTTCTTCACATCAGCCATGAAAAAAGAGTCCTGCGCCGTGTCCACGTAGGTCAGTCCCGCCGCGTTGCCCGACGCCGCCTGCTTCGCAATGTCTGCGGGGAGTTCCGTCATGAGCCCGTCGTCCTTCTTGCTGCTCTGGTCGGGCTTCTCGTTCGCCGACGAGCTTGTGATGGGGCTGCCGGCGCGCGCCGCCACGAGCAGCAGCGCGAGGGAGAGCGCGAAAAACGCAGCTCGAGCCATTTAAACGTCCTGTGAGGTTGAAGCGAGATTAGGGACTAAACTTAACCAGAATATGCGGAATGGGTGAAGGTAGTGTAAAAACAAAGGAACTGCGCCTCTGTTTCTGATGTCAGTCGATGGCAAAGTGGGGAGGTTATATGCAGTTGACTTGCTTGCAACCCGCGTGTCGTGTCGTGTCGTGTCTGGTGGGGCTGTTGCCTTCCTCCCATGTCTGGTGGCATTTGTTCGACAGGACAGAGATTTCGAGTCGCAGGGTAAAAAAGCGACATGAGATCTTTATCACCTGCGATTTCTCGGAGGCGCAGGGTCCAATAGCACGTGGAATGCACACTGTGTCAGGTAAACCTCCGGTCAGCTTTTGATGGAGCATATTCAACTGCCCTGAAGATGTTTTACTACAGTGACATAAATCATTTGAAGGCTCGCGTGCTGAGTGTATCTCAATAATGTCAAAACTCCCTTATTGAATCTGCCCGGTATGTTGCTGACACACCTGCTTGGCATTGCTGCTACACTGTCCAGGTCACCACGCACATGTTCCACTCAACCTGCTCGCCATACTTGTTGTCCGCACTAGAAAGGGAGCTCCGTATTATAAAAGGTAGAAGCGTCATGTTGACATACACGATTGAAACATTCTGTCCACATCCATATATTCCAGGGAAACTTTGCTGTAACATCATAGCTCCATTTCCTTTCATACAAATCCGATTCCCTTAGTACCACCATCACACCCATGTGATGGAATTGAATGCCAAGCAAGAAAGCTCAAAGACTTGCAATACACGTGCCCGTTCACATTCGTCATTTTGTCATCATTCAACAAAGCTGCGTACACCGTTATCACACTCCAACCCCCTTTTCAATCACGCTTGCACAACTCGTTGCTGGCGGCGCTGGGAGCGGAGGAAGAGAACCGCGAGGAGCAGAGCGAGGAGAGATGCGATGTAGGCGTTGGTGTCGTCCCTCAGGGCCAACTTCAATGCTCCTGCTGTAGCCGGGGCGATCTCAGGCAGAACATCCAATGCCTTGGACTGGAGGGGTGGGGGGAGAGGGGAGGGGGGGAGGGGCAATGTAGGCATTGTTGTCGTCCCTCAGGACCACCTTCAATGCTCCTGCTGTGGCTGGACCGATCTCAGGTAGCCAATCCAGTGCCTTGGACTGAGGGGGGTTTGTGGGGGGAGGGGAAGAGGAGAGGGAGACGGGGAGGAGGAGATGGGGAGGAGAGACGAGGAGAGGGAGACAAGGATAGGGGGAAGACGCGGGGGAGAAGCGGAGGCGGTGACGGAAAGGGGGAGAATAGAAGAGGGAGATGCAGAGGTGGGGATGAGGAAAGGGAGAAGCAGAGGGGGAAATAGCAGATGAGAGAAAGCCTTACTCTTAACCTGGATACCGACTAGCAAAGGTAGTGTGAAGCACACTCTGAGAAGAATCCTCAGGGTAGCGCCCGTACTGCAGTGCATGCTTACCGCAACAGGTTTGTGCCCACAAACTAGGTGTCTTCTGAGTCGACTAAAAACTGACTTGTGAGTCGACTCAAAAGTCACCTTAAAGCACACTCGGAGCAGAATCCTCAGGGTGGCGCCCGTACTGCAGTGCATGCTTTGCTTACCACAACAGGTTCGTTCGTGCCCACAACCATCCATTCATCGCACCAGAGGTACTCAGGATTACATAAAGCCCACACATTGGACTCAGCGAGTGTTTTTTGAGAATTCTCAAAAAACACTAGGTACTCAGGTTTACATAAAGCCCACACATTGGACTCACCACAAGAGGGTAGTGCTCACCAACCTTTACTGCACCAGAGCTTACGGGCCTTACTTAAGACCCACCTATTTCAAGCAGACTCACCACAAGAGGGTAGTGGCTGGCCGTACTGCATGCTTAGCACAACTGTTTCGTGCCCACAAACCTTCATATGAAGCCCAACTACCTAACAAGCAGACTCACCACAAGGGGTAGTGGCTGGCCGTACTGCATGCGCAGCCAGAGGCCAACCGGGTCATGCCCACAAGCCTAACGGTGGTAATACAAAGCCCACCTATGTCTAGAGCAGGCTCACCACAAGAGGGTAGTGGCCATACTGCATGCGCAGCCAGAGGCCGAAGAGGGTCGTGCCCACAAGCGTAACGGCGCTAACTTGAATCCACCTATCTCTGAAGCAGACTCACCACAAGAGGGTCGTGCCCACAAGCGTAACGGCGCTAACTTGAATCCACCTATCTCTGAAGCAGACTCACCACAAGAGGGTCGTGCCCACAAGCGTAACGGCGCTAACTTGAATCCACCTATCTCTGAAGCAGACTCACCACAAGAGGGTCGTGCCCACAAGCGTAACGGCGCTAACTTGAATCCACCTATCTCTGAAGCAGACTCACCACAAGAGGGTCGTGCCCACAAGCGCAACGGCACTAACTTGAATCCACCTATCTCTGAAGCAGACACACCACAAGAGGGTCGTGCCCACAAGCCTAATGGTGCTAACTTGAATTGAGCCCACCTATGTCAAAAGCAGACTCACCACAAGCGGGTAGTGGCCGTACTGCATGCGCAGCCAGAGGCCAACCGGGTCATGCCCACAAGCGTAACGGTGGTAATACAAAGCCCACCACTCTCTAAAGCAGACTCACCACAAGAGGGTAGTGGCCGTACTGCATGCGCAGCCAGAGGCCAAAGAGAGCGATTCTCACTGGAACCACTGCCTTGGGGAAAGCGTCTAAGACCTGCAGGCGGGGGGACAGGGGGGGGGAGAGGAAGGCAGCGGGAAGAAGGGTTGTTTGATTCACAAGAGGATGGATTCGACCATCTAGCGATTCTCACCGGCACCACTGCCTTGGGGAAAGCATCCAAGACCTGGCGACAGGGAGAAGGGGGGAAAAGTGTATCCAGAGTCGTTGGCGGTTCAAAAGAGATCGAATTCGGACGGCTGGAATTTAAACCAGGTAGCGACTCTCACCGGCACCACTGCCCAGGGGATGCGACGACCACCTGTGAGTGGAGAAGAGAGGAGGGGGGAGAAGAGAGGAGGGGCGAGAAGGGGAGTGGTTTTAAAATCGATTTCTGAGGTGCCTCAAAATCCTGGCAGTAGGAAAAAGAGTGGATCAGGAATCGGTGCACTGACTGCAGTGACTGGTGGGATTTAAAACCAGCTAGCGAGACTCACTGGCACCACTGCACGCGGAAACGAGGAAAGGAAAAGGAAGCTTCATGGAAAAGGCTTCAGGGGAAAGCCTGCCTTACCAGTCAGCCGAAACATGCTAGCGTTTTGATATTTTTAGTGGATTCGAGAGTTTGGTTTTCTCAGATTCTTGGCACTTAGCAGGGTACAACGTACAGAGAGAGTACTACTGTCTTTCTTTTGCTAAAAGTTACTTCGTAACTGCAGCTCGCCCAGTCTCCATGGCTAACCACAATTGGCATGCCAGCTTGCCCAGCTTCCTGGTCAAAGAACTATGATGCATTAACCATACATTGACAAGGTGCATCGGTGCATCGCTCCCCATCCGTACCTACCTGCCCATATCGCTCCGTACCTGCTCGCTCTCCACCATTCCTGGTCGTAGAACAATAATCGGTACGCCAGCTTGCACAGCTTCCTGGTCATAGAACTAGGGATGAGCAAAGGGCGAACACGAACATGTTCGTGTTCGCCCCTTCTCGAACACGCCCTTTTGCCGAACCGAACACTGTTCGGTTCGGCGAACAGTTTAGCCAAAAACAGGTGTTCGCTGTTCGCCTGTGGAGGCGTGTTCGGGCGAACCTCGAACACGTTCGTGTTCGACACGGGGCGTTCTGCAGCAGCGCCACGAACACGAACGTGTTCGGGCGAACCTCGAACACGTTCGGGCGAACGATTTAAGCTGAAAAACAAAACCTGTTCGGTTCGCCTCGAACACGTTCGAGGCGAACCGAACAGGTGTTCGCCACCTTGCTCAAGCCTACATAGAACCATCATACATTGACAAGGTGCATCGGTGCATCGCTCCCCATCCGTACCTACCCATATCTGCCCACACCTACTCATACCTGGTCATAAAACCGCTTGGCTAGATGCAAATCTCTAGGCAGTCCCATGCCATGCTCGTGCATGAAGCCCAGGTTGAACATGGCGTGTGCACTGCCCTTCTCCCGCGCCCTCCAATACGCCTCTGCTGCTCGCTGCAGGTCCCGCGCTTGGCCCTGTGGGATGCGTGGATGGGTGGGAGTGACGGCTCACAATGAGACACACTGTTCATAACGGGGTGTGCGCTGCCCTTCACTGCCCTTCTCCCGCGCCCTCCAGTATGCCTCTGCTGCTCGCTGCAGGTCCCGCGCTTGGCCCTGTGGGATGCGTGGATGGGTGGGAGTGACGGCTCACAATGAGACACACTGTTCATAACGGGGTGTGCGCTGCCCTTCACTGCCCTTCTCCCGCGCCCTCCAGTATGCCTCTGCTGCTCGCTGCAGGTCCCGCGCTTGGCCCTGTGGGATGCGTGGATGGGTGGGAGTGACGGCTCACAATGAGACACACTGTTCATAACGGGGTGTGCGCTGCCCTTCACTGCCCTTCTCCCGCGCCCTCCAGTATGCCTCTGCTGCTCGCTGCAGGTCCCGCGCTTGGCCCTGGGGGAAGGGTGGGTGGGGTGACGACGATGAAACGATTTCTGAGTCGACTTATTAGTCAAGTCGACAGGTGTGATTGAGCGAGCAAGCAATCCTCTTGTGTCAACTGACCTGGCCGTCGTGTCAGCTCAATTCATACGACTCACCCGGCCGTAGAAGAAAGCATCTCCCAGCAGCAGCGCTGCCTGCACGCTGCCCTGCTCTGCTGCCAGCTGCCACAGCTGCAAGTGTGAGCAAGCATGCAAGCATACCTAGCAGGGAGGGACTCACCCGGCCATAGAAGAAAGCATCTCCCAGCAGCAATGCCGCCTGCACGCTGCCCTGCTCTGCTGCCAGCTGCCACAGCCGGTGCGACCTCTCATGCCTCTCCGCCTCACTGCACCGCCTCCAACCCCTCCTGCCACCAGTGACACTATCCTTACTCCCCTCCTGCTGTTCCTTCTGTTCCTTCTGCTCCTGCGACTCCTCCGCTCTGCCTCCCTCCCCTTGCACTACACCACCACCTTCTGATTCATCGGCTTGAGATGCTTCCACACTTGCAGCAGCTTCCTCTGCACCTCTCGACCCCTCTCCACCACTTGCTGACCCCTTTCCACCCACTGCGTTATTCTCATCGCTTGCAACCCCATCGGCAGCTTCCATGTCGTTCTTAACCGCTTCTGGTGCAGCAGAAGTGGCAGTGGCAGTGGCAGTGGTGGTGCTGGTGGTGCTGCTGCGAGGGGCACCCACACACGCATTGTCCAGCACAGAATCACCCACCACCTGCATGCAGAGATGGTGCAGAAAGGGGAAAGCGGAGGGGAGTCAGGATGGGGGGGGGGGTCAGAATAGGGAGGGGGGTCAGGATGATGCTGCGAGGGGCACCCACACACGCATTGTCCAGCACAGAATCACCCACCACCTGCATGCAGAGATGGTGCAGAAAGGGGAAAGTGGAGGGGAGTCAGGATAGGGAGGGGGGTCAGGTTGGTGCTGCGAGGGGCACCCACACACGCATTGTCCAGGACCGAGTCACCCTCCACCTGCATGCAGATGGTGCAAAGGAGCAGATGAAGGTAGTGAGAGGAGGAAGAGGCAGTGGTGCTGCTGCTGCTGCTGCGAGGAGCACCCACACATGCATTGTCCAGGACAGAATCACCCACCACCTGCATTGACCCATGGCGCAGAACGAGGGAGGGAGGGGCCGGGCGGACGGTGCGATAGGCGATAGCGGGGGTTGGTTGGATTGGTGCAAAGGGGGGTGTTAGGGATGGTTCTTGAGGCGCCACAAAAATCACTCAGCACATTTGAGTTTTCTGAAAAGTGACTCCAAGATAACCAATCGTGTACAAGGGTGGGGTTGGGACGGTGCAAAAAGGGGGAGGAGGAGGAGGAGGAGGAGGAGGAGGACTAAAAGAGAGGGAGGATACGCACCTTATCCAGCAGCCAGGCGGCATTCCCCTGTGCCACTTCATACCCCAACTCGGCAGCTCATGAATACAACACCAGGGACGTGCGCTCGTCACACGCAGCCAGGTGACGGGGGAAGACGAGAAGGAAAAGGATAGGGGGTGGGGAACGGGGGAGGAGGTCTCACCTTATCCAGCAGCCATGCAGCGTTCCCCTGTGCCACTTCATACCCCAACTCCGCAGCTCTCGAGTAGAGCATCAGCGATGTGCCCACATCACACGAAGCAGGCCAGGAGGAGGGGGAGGAGGACGAGGAGGAGGAGCGGAGGGAGGTGGGGGAGAGTGGGGAGGAGAGGGAGAAGGAGAAGGAGAGGGAGAAGGGCAGGGAGGAGGAGGAGGCGGAGCGGGAGAGGGACCAGAGGGAGGGGCCGTGGGTGGATGACATGAAGCATGCGTGTGCCCACCGCAGCATGACCCCCCATGGGCCCCGCTCCGCCACTGCCTTGAGTAGCCGAGCAGCCTGAACAAATGGGAGGGAGGGGGGTGGGAGAGGAAGGAAGAACAACGTCAGCAAGCCCACCGCATCATCACACCCCATGGACCCCGCTCTGCCACCGACTTGAGTAGACGCGCAGCCTGGGAGGGGAGAGAACAAAGGCGGGTTTGAACTGAAAGGTGAGGCATCACACGAGACCAGCCCACCGCAGCATCACCCCCCCAGCCTGCCACTGCCTTGAGGAAGCGCGCGGCCTGGGAGGGAGCGAATGAAGGAGCGAGAGGAAGGGAAGAATCTTGAAGTGTTACGAGCGATGGGATCCCATAATGTTCACTAGACTGGTGTCTAACTTTTGAGTCGACGCAAACGTCAGAGTGTTACGAGCGTTGGTTGGGATCGCATGATGACCACCACACCAGACTCGAGTCTGTGAGTTGAGTTGAAGGCACGACTTCTATACTCTCACACACACACACACCATACTCGCATTCCCCCATCTCACCACGACCATGTTCTTGGGAACACCAGCCCCCGTGAGGTGACTTTTGAGACGTGTCAAAAGTCGTCTCAAGAGACGTCTCAAAAGTTGTTCTTGGGAACACTGGTATCTTTCCCAGAACCACGTTTCTTGGGTACATGGCACCCACTATTCTGCTCCCCCCCCCCCACCCATGGTGGCCCCAACGTTTTTGGGAACGCCAGTCCACGTGAGGTGCATCTTGCCCATCTGATACATGGCCCCCACCCCACGTGCTGCCCTCCCACTGCTTGCTGTAAGAACTGCAGCGCATTCAAAAAACGCGCCTTTGTATATGAACAAACCCATCATAAGTGCACCCATCTCACCATAACAACGTTCTTGGGAACGCCAGTCCCTGTGAGGTGCATCTTGCCCGTAACCACGTTTCTTGGGTACATGGCACCCACTCCACTACTCTGCTCCCCCCGAATGGTGGCCCCCACGTGCTGCCCCTCCACCGCCTGCTGCAGGAACTGCAGTGCGAAAATGCCCCTTTACAGGCAGACCCGGTATAACCACACACCAAACCGCCCCCCCGTCTCACCATGACAACATTCTTGGGAACGCCTGTCCCTGTGAGGTGCATTTTGCCCATCTGATACATGGCCCCCACGTGCTGCCCCTCCACCGCCTGTTGCAGGAACTGCAGTGCGAAAATGCCCCTTTACAGGCAGACCCGGTATAACCACACACCAAACCGCCCCCCCGTCTCACCATGACAACATTCTTGGGAACGCCTGTCCCTGTGAGGTGCATTTTGCCCATCTGATACATGGCCCCCACGTGCTGCCCCTCCACCGCCTGCTGCAGGAACTGCAGCGCCTTGCTGGGGTTGCGCCTCACGCCCTGCCCCCTCAGATGGCTCATTCCCAGATTGTATAGTGCGTCTACATCACGGGTCTTCCGGGCAGCTGTCAGAAAGTTTTGGACAGCCTGGGGGCAGATAGCAGTGAGATAGAGGTGTAAAACGAACAGAGAGAAGAGAGAGGAGGAAAGGGGAAGCGGAGGTAAGGAGAAGAGGGAGTAAGGAGAGGAGTGAGTGTGCTGCAGGCAGGAACTGCAGCGCTTTGCTGGGGTTGCGCCTCACGCCCTGCCCTCTCCGATGACTCATTCCCAGATTGTACAATGCGTCCACGTCCTTGGTCTTCCGGGCAGCCGTGAGAAAGTTTTGGACCGCCTGGCGGAAGATAGAAGTGAGAGAGGGGAGAGAAAAGAAACGAGAGAAGAGAGAGGAGGAAAAGGGGAGGGGCGATGAGGAGATGAGTAAGGAGAGGAGTGAGTGTGCTGCAGGCAGGAACTGCATCACCTTGTTGGGGTTGCGCCTCACGCCCTGCCCCCTCAGATGACTCATTCCAAGATTGTACAACGCGTCCACATCACGGGTCTTACGGGCGGCTGTCAGAAAGTTTTGCACCGCCTGAAGGCAGGGAGGAAAGAGAGAGAGGGGAGAGAAAAGAGAGAGATGAGAGAAGGGAGGAACGGGGGAGGGGCGGCAAGGAGAGGAATGAGCAGAGGGGTGAGTGTGCTGCAGGCAGCAAGTGCGCGCCTTGCTAGGGTTGTGCCTCACGCCCTGCCCCCTCAGATGACTCATTCCCAGATTGTATAACGCGTCCACGTCCCTGGTCTTCCGGGCGGCTGTGAGGAAATTCTGCACCGCCTGAAGGCAGGGAGGAAAGAGAGAGGTGGGAGAGAAAAGAGGGAAATGAGAGAAGGGAGGAAAGGGGCAGCAGCGGTAAGGAGAGGAATGCGCAGAGGAGTGAGCAGATACCCCATGCCGTTCAGCGCGCTCACGAGCCCGCGTGCATACGCCTTGTTGAACCACCCGCCCCATTGCCCTCTGAAGCACACCCATCCCGTCACATCACATCAGCGCATGCACCAGGTGACTTTTGAGTCGACTCAAGAACCGCCCCATTGCCCTCTGAAGCACACCCATCCCATCCCATCCCATCACATCACATCACATCACATCACATCACATCAGCGCATGCACCAGGTGACTTTTGAGTCGACTCAAGAACCGCCCCATTGCCCTCTGAAGCACACCCATCCCGTCACATCACATCAGCGCATGCACCAGGTGACTTTTGAGTCGACTCAAGAACCGCCCCATTGCCCTCTGAAGCACACCCATCCCATCCCATCCCATCACATCACATCACATCACATCACATCACATCACATCAGCGCATGCACCAGGTGACTTTTGAGTCGACTCAAGAACCGCCCCATTGCCCTCTGAAGCACACCCATCCCATCCCATCCCATCACATCACATCACATCACATCACATCACATCAGCGCATGCACCAGGTGACTTTTGAGTCGACTCAAGAACCGCCCCATTGCCCTCTGAAGCACACCCATCCCGTCACATCACATCAGCGCATGCACCAGGTGACTTTTGAGTCGACTCAAGAACCGCCCCATTGCCCTCTGAAGCACACCCATCCCATCCCATCCCATCACATCACATCACATTACATCACATCAGCGCATGCACCAGGTGACTTTTGAGTCGACTCAAGAACCGCCCCATTGCCCTCTGAAGCACACCCATCCCATCCCATCCCATCACATCACATCACATCAGCGCATGCACCAGGTGACTTTTGAGTCGACTCAAGAACCGCCCCATTGCCCTCTGAAGCACACCCATCCCGTCACATCACATCAGCGCATGCACCAGGTGACTTTTGAGTCGACTCAAGAACCGCCCCATTGCCCTCTGAAGCACACCCATCCCATCCCATCCCATCACATCACATCACATTACATCACATCAGCGCATGCACCAGGTGACTTTTGAGTCGACTCAAGAACCGCCCCATTGCCCTCTGAAGCACACCCATCCCATCCCATCCCATCACATCACATCACATCAGCGCATGCACCAGGTGACTTTTGAGTCGACTCAAGAACCGCCCCATTGCCCTCTGAAGCACACCCATCCCATCCCATCCCATCCCATCACATCACATCACATCACATCACATCACATCACATCACATCACATCACATCACATCACATCACATCACATCAGCGCATGCACCAGGTGACTTTTGAGTCGACTCAAGAACCGCCCCATTGCCCTCTGAAGCACACCCATCCCGTCCCATCACATCAGCGCATGCACCAAGTGCCAGGCACCGTGTGACAGGCGTGTGCCAACACACACACAAAAGACCCCTCCACTCACCCACCTTGTGGTAGTCCTGCGGCACGCCCAGCCCCTTGGCGTGCAGTGCAGGTACCCCACTCCGTTCAGCGCGCTCACGAGCCCTCTGAAGGACCCATGTGGCAGTAACCTGGCCTGGAGCAACCTACTGTGACAGGTATGAGTCAGGGTAAAACGCTTCTCCCCCACTCACCCACCTTGTGGTAGTCCTGAGGCACCCCCAGCCCCTTGGCGTGCAGGTACCCCACTCCGTTCAGCGCGCTCACGAGCCCGCGTGCATAGGCCTTGTTGAACCACGCCATGGCCTCCACTGGGTTGGCCTTTACCCCCACTCCATGTGTCAGCATCTCACCCAGCGTCAGCATGGCCTGTTGAGGGAATGACGTATGAGACGCGAGAGAGAGAGTGGGTGTGAGAGAGTTGAACGAAGTAAGGTTCAGAACAGAGAGGCCCGCGTGCATACGCCTTGTTGAACCACCCCATGGCCTCCACCGGGTTGGCCTTCACCCCCACTCCGTGTGTCAGCATCTCACCCAGCGTCAACATGGCCTGTTGGGGTGAGTGAGTGTGTGAGAGGGTTGAACCAAGAGACGGTGAGAGAGAGAGAGCCCGCGTGCATAGGCCTTGTTGAACCACCCCATTGCCTCTGTCGGGTTGGCCTTCACCCCCACGCCATGCGTGAGCATCTCACCCAGAGTCAACATGGCCTGTTGAGGGTGGTGGGTGTGTGAGAGGGGGTTCAATGAAGTAAGGGTCAGAACAGAGAGGCCCACGTGCATACGCCTTGTTGAACCACTGCATTGCCTCTGTCTGGTTGGCCTTCACCCCCACGCCATGCGTGAGCATCTCACCCAGAGTCAACATGGCCTGTCGGGGGGAGAGAGTGTGTGTGAGGGTTCAATGAAGTAAGGGACAGAACCGAGAGGCCCGCGTGCATAGGCCTTGTTGAACCACCCCATGGCCTCCACCGGGTTGGCTTTTACCCCCACGCCGTGTGTGAGCATCTCACCCAGAGTCAGCATGGCCTGTTCAGGGCAGTGGGTGTGTGCGAGGGTTCATTGAAGTAAGGCATAATTAACTCCTTCTCTCCTCGCTCCTTTTCTCCACTCCCCCACGCACATGCGACGCCTGGACATACACCTGCCTTAAATTAACTTCTCTTTCCCCTCTCCTCTCTCCTCTCTCCTTTCTCCTCTCTCCACCCACTCACATGGGGGTCGTCCATCTCAGCTGCCTTCCTCATCAGCCCAAACGCCCTCACATGGCCCTTCCCTCCGGCAACATACATGATACACCTGGCTGAGATTACCGCTCTTTCCTCTCTCCACCCACTCACATGGGGGTCGTCCATCTCAGCTGCCTTCCTCATCAGCCCAAACGCCCTCACATGGCCCTTCCCTCCGGCAACATACATGATACACCTGGCTGAGATTACCGCTCTTTCCTCTCTCCACCCACTCACATGGGGGTCGTCCATCTCAGCTGCCTTCCTCATCAGCCCAAACGCCCTCACATGGTCTCAGGGCATGCCCCTGGCAACGGTTAAATAAAGAGTCCCCGTGTATTCTTGCCATATATGCCCTGCTGCTAGTCCCTCTCCACCCACTCACATGGGGGTCGTCCATCTCAGCTGCTTTCTTCATCAGCCCAAACGCCCTCACGTGGTCCCGCGGCATGCCCCGCGCCCCCCAGTAGTACAGCGTTCCCAGCGTGCGAATGGCCTCCACTGCTCCTCGTGACGCTTGTAGCTCGATGAACTGCAGAAAAAGGGAAGAGGGGGGGCGTGAAGGAGAGAGGGAGGGGAGGAACCAGCGTAATCACGGCATGCCCCGCGCCCCCCCCAGTAGTACAATGTGCCCAGCATGCGAATCGCCTCCACCGCTCCCCGAGAGGCTTGTAGCTCGACGAACTGTTGGGGAGAGGGGGACGGGAAGGAGGGGACACCATAAGGTTTGGAGTGGTTTGCTGGTCCCTCGGCATGCCCCGTGCCCCCCAGTAGTACAGCGTGCGAATGGCTTCCACTGCTCCACGTGACGCCTGCAACTCAATGAACTGGGAAGGGAAGAAGGGACGGGAAGGGGAATGGGGGGAAGGAAAGGGGGGTAAATGGGTTAGAGTCCCGCGCCATGCCCCGTGCCCCCCAGTAGTACAGCGTGCCCAGCGTGCGGATGGCCTCCACTGCTCCCCTGGATGCCTGCAGCTCGATGAACTGGGAAGGGAAGGGGAATGGGCGAGGGGCAATCAATCACCACAAGGTCTGCAGTCCCGCGGCATGCCCCGTGCCCCCCAGTAGTACAGCGTGCCCAGCGTGCGAATGGCCTCCACTGCTCCACGAGATGCCTGCAGCTCGATGAACTGGTTAGAGGGGGAAAAGGGGGGTGTGAAGGAGGGACAGAGAGGAGGAAAAAGGGGTATCACGGCATCCCCCGTGCCCCCCAGTAGTACAGCGAGGCTTGCAGCTCGATGAACTGAAGAGAAGAGGGGGAACGTGGAATGGTGGGGAGAAAAGGGGGAGCGGAGTTCGCGTAACACGGCGCGGCATGGCATGCCCCTCGCCCCCCAGTAGTACAGCGTGCCCAACGTGCGAATGGCGTCCACTGCTCCACGTGAGGCTTGCAGCTCAATGAACTGCACGGAAGGGGAAAGGAAGGACGGGAAGGAGTGGAAATTAGAACGTTTGGAGTGGCTGGGCAGTGGGCATGCCCCGCGCCCCCCAGTAGTAGAGTGTGCCCAGCGTGCGAATGGCCTCCACTGCTCCACGCGATGCCTGCAGCTCGATGAACTGTAGAAAAGGGGAGGAGTGGTAGTGAGAGGACACGAAAGGAGGGCATACCCCGTGCCCCCCAGTAGTAGAGCCGCTACAGCGCCCGAATGGCCTCTACTGCTTCGCGCGATGCTTGCAGCTCGATGAACTGGAGTGGAAAAGGAGAGAGGGAAAGCACGGCAGTGGAGGAAGGGAAGGGAAGTCAGAGTGTTCCCAGCGTGCTAATGGCCTCCACTGCTCCCCATCCCCAGCGTGATGGACATTCTCGTTGCTGGGTGAAGCAACGAGAGGACATTCGAAACGCGAAAGCTGGGTGAAGCTACCAAGAGTGTTCCCGGTGCCCTCTCGTTGCTTCCAGGCTCTCCTCCCCGCCAGCACTCAAGTGCACCGTCTCTATCAGCGGCGCCTGCCAACCCTAGCACACCCCACTCTCACCACCGCGGCCACCGCCACCACAATCACCCCCACCACCACCACCGCCTGCATTCTTCTCACCTGAATGGTTTCATCCGCCTCTCCCCTGTGTCCCCTCGTTGCCTCCAGAATCTCCTCCCCTCCAGCACTCAGCTGCCCCGTCTCTATCAGCGGCGTGGCGCCTGCCCGGGAAGGGAGGCAACCCAAACACGCCCTAACCCAACGCCCCAGCAGAACACCTTAGGGACCCTCACAACCACTCCAAACCACGTCCTTCCCACCTGAATGGTTTCGTCCGCCTCTCCTCTATGTCCTCTGGTAGCTTCCAAGCTCTCCTCCCCTCCTGCACTCAGATGCACCGTCTCTATCAGCGGCGCCTGCCCCGGAAGGCAACCCTAACACGCCCTAACGGACGCTACCAGCCATAACACAACTCACAACCCCAGCAGCACTCCTGTGTATCCTTCTCACCTGAATAGTTTCATCCGCCTCTCCCCTGTGTCCTCTCGTCGCCTCCAGGCTCTCCTCCCCGCCAGAGCTCAAGTGCACCGTCTCGATCAGCAGCGCCTGCCCGCCCTAGCATACCCCACTCTCACCATCGCGGCCACCGCCATCACAATCACCCCCACCACCACACCACCACCCCCTGTATTCTCCTCACCTGAATGGTCTCATCCGCCTCTCCCCTGTGTCCTCTGGTTGCCTCCAGACTCTCCTCCCCTCCAGCGGTCAACTGCACCGTCTCTATCAGCGGCGCCTGCCCGGGCAGGCTGTTGACCGCCATTGACTTGGCTGCCCGGGAAAGGAACCATAGCACACCCTACTAATTATACCGGCACCCACAAAGGCTCCAAATTCACTACCTTCTTTTCTCACCTGGATGGTCTCATCGGCCTCCCCCCGATGCCCTCTGGTTGCCTCCAAGCTCTCCTCGCCCCCAGCGCTCAGATGCACCGTCTCTATCAGCGGCGCCTGCCCCGGAAGGCTGTTGACCGCCATTGACTTGGCTGCCACGTCAGCGTAGAGCGCCGCGGCGCGCTCGAACTCCTGCTGGCGGAGGTGCGAGAAGGCGAGCGCCATCTTGGAGTGCACGCTGCCTCCACTCGCGGCGAACGTGTGGTGGAGAAACGCCTTCACCTGATTGGCGGAGGGGCGGGATGAGGAGGGGTGCTGAGGGGTAAGGAGGGGTAGGGAGGTGCTGAGATACCCTCAAACGAGCATTTCGGACTCCCCACTGTCTTCTCGTTCCCCCACCCTCTCTCCCTATATGGAGCTTATATAGGGATTGAGCTCCTGCTGGCGGAGGTGCGAGAAGGCGAGCGCCATCTTGGAGTGCACGCTGCCTCCACTCGCGGCGAACGTGTGGTGGAGAAACGCTTTTACCTGATTGGCGGATGATGGGGTGGGCGGGGTTGGGGAGGGTGGGGAGGGATGGGGAGGGGCAGGAAAAACAATAGAGGGAACATTTTGCTTGTCCCCTTTGCCCTCCTCTGTCCCCGTGTCGTCTCTCCCTTCCCCCTTCCTATCCGCCCCTCATACCCACCCCTCCCCGCACCTGGTTGAGCGGAACGCCGTAGCCGCTGGCATGAAGGAACCCAAGCGCGGAGTGCGCATGGGGGAAGCCCTGCTCCGCCGCATCCCCCTTCCCCTTCCTTCCCCCTATTCCCCCAACCCCCCCCCGTTCACCTGGTTCATCGGAACGCCGTATCCGCTGGCATGGAGGAACCCCAGCGCGGAGTGCGCGTGGGGGAAGCCCTTCTCCGCGGATCGCTCCAGCAGCAGCAGCGCCTTGGGAATATCCCGCGCAACTCCCCCGCGCCCCCCCGCGCCTACCAGCCGCTTCACCCCCAGCGCCCACAGCGCCTCCGCGTCCCCCTGCTCCGCGCGCCGGCGCACGTCCGCCAATGGCATCTCGACAGCTGTCCGCCACGATCCCGGATCCAACGGCTCCTGTTTGTACTTCTCCACCAGCGGGTCGTCCGCCATTGCTGCCAGCGCGGCCGCCGCCGCCGCTTCCGCTGCTGCTGCGGCCGACTGGGGCGATTTGACGGACTTAATCGCCTCGCCTCGCCTAGTCTCGTCGCTATCCTGCTTCGTTCTCCTAGATCCTGCGGCTGTTCCTTCTCCTGTCGAATCTGCCCCCTCTCGCTTCGGTTCATCCTCGCCGTCCGTTTCCAGATCGTCGTCGTCGTCGTCCCAATCGTCGTCGCCTGTTTTAATCACATACGTCTTGCCGTTCTTCTTGATGAATGTGATCTTAGCGGAGCGAGAGACGGTCGCGAAGAGCAGGAGTAGCACGAAAAGAAACAGCACGAGCGACAAGGACGACGTGTCCCGTCTAGTTCGCGAAACGCTGGTAACCAGACGAGCCATCACGACTTCCTTTTCCCGGAACCAGCGGCGAACCGCGTATCTATATGGAGAGACACGCCCTCAGATCGAGTACAACAGATTTCACTAAGGTACACGCCTCAAAACGCTCTCACTCTAGGAACGACTAGAAGCGCACCCGCCGGCGCTTCTTTTCAGAGCAATCCCGAATCTCGGAAAACAAGAGCACAAAAACATCCTCATGGGCTTCTAAAAGGCGAAGGCACGACGCTTGGAAGCCATGGCGCGTGGCGGAGTGACGGCATTGGTGGACAGGTGCCCAAGTCCGAACTTCAGAAAGGTTTTACACGGTACTCTCAGCATTGAACAATCAGCAATTTCTGCTGCAAATCCCAAGCCACTGAAATCTGCTGCACTGACCGGCAGAGAGAGCTGAAAGGGGAAGACGAAGAGCCAGTTGCCGGCAAGCAGACGGCTTCAGGCGGTCAGCGGTTGGAGGAAGGATGTGGAAGAAATAGAATGATTGGTCCGGAGTTGACGATGACCTCGAGGTTCTGCTTCCGATTGGCTCGTTGACGTTTGCAAGGCCGCGCAGATTGCTGGAAAGGTGGAAAGATGGCTGCAGGAGTGAGTTCCTTGTTCAATTGCCCAGAAAACAAAAGCGTTTGTCTGAACCCGGAATCGAACCGGAGACCTCCAGTGTGTGAGACTGGCGTGATAACCGACTACACCATCCAGACATGTTTGGGAGCAAATCGTTATACATTCACTCATAAAACACTGACCACTCGTAACAGCATCCTGTCGTAACAGCCTTTCAGTACATCCTGTCGCCTCGCCAGTCCGTCGCAGCAGCCATGGCGTCCCCCATGCGATCTCTCGCGTCAGCCTTCAGTCGCCGCCTCGTCGGCCCGCAATCATCGGCTCTTTCGCTTCGAGGAGGCGCGGGAGCGCGACTCGGTTTCGGACGTCCACCAGCTTCCGAGGCACGTTCCTCTGTTTATTTCCCAAACTCGATAATCTCGCGCGTCTGTAATCTCCGTCCGCCTGAATCATTGTTCCCGACGCGACTTTCCAGTCGACTGTATAGTCACCTCTGGCGCGCCGACAATTTTGTCGACTTTCCACGACTGTCGCTCAGGGGGATAGAGGCATGAAGAGTTGTTCAGGCCAGCTGGACTCAAGTCCAGCGACTGTCGCTCTGGCAGACCTAAGCCCAGCTGATGGCCGATGGCCGATGGCCGATGGCCGATGGCCGATGGCCGATGGCCGATGGCCGATGGCCGATGGCCTTTGGCCGATGTCGGATGACAGATGACCCGCTAAGATGGCCGATCACTCGTCTCCGTGTGACTATGACCTTCATTGCCGCCTGGATCGCTCTTCTTCCCGGGATCGTGTACTCACGTTCCTTGACACTTGTAGTGGTTTTTTTAACCTCGCGCGCGTGCAAAATGCATCTCTTTCCTGGTTCCGCAAGGGCATCTTTCCTTCGCAGGCCGTCGCGATCATCCTGTGCGAAGTTTCTTTTGAGTCGAAACAAAACTTATGAAGTGACTAGTCGACTCAAAAGTCCCCTTCGCAGGCCGTCGTGATCATCCTGTGCGAAGCGAAGTTATCCCCCTGGTCTCGCATTCCCCTCGTCTTCATATTTCTTTTCCCAAAACCTTATTCGGCCTCATTTCCAGATTCATTCCGTCCGCCTCTTTCCCGTCGTCGTCCCGCCTGCCCTGCCTCTCTCCTTTCTGCCTCGGCCCCTCCTCTGCCTCTCCCCCCTCGCTCCTTGCAGCTACCAGAGAGCGACGAGTTGACATGGTGCTACAGCAAATTCAACCAGCCTTTTTCGTGCCCACCCCCCTCCTTGCCTCTCGTCTCTTGCTGCCTCTCTGCCTTCATTGCAGCTACCAGAGAGCGACGAGCTGACGTGGTATGACGGCACGCCCAACCCCGAGCCCTCACGGTTCCCCGCCTTCTCCCTGTCTTTTTCCCCCGCCCTCCTCCCCCCCCCACCGTCCTTGCAGCTACCAGAGAGCGATGAGCTGACATGGTATGATGGCACGCCCAACCCCGAGACGGCTACAGACACCATCCTGCCAAACCTTCCATCTGTGAGTCTCCCCTGCCGTCTGTGAGTCTCCCCTGCCGTCTGTGAGTCGCCCCTGCCGCCTGAGAGTTTTCCCTGCCGTCTGTGAGTCTGTGGGTCTGCTGAGTTTTCCATCCCGAACCGACACAGACCACGGCACTACAATAGCTAGCAGCAGGCCTGTCAATCTTTGCCCTCAACGACTCTTTTGGCCCAATTCCTCACTCCCGGTGCCCTCTCCTTCCCGCTATCTCTCCTCTTCCGTCCCCATCCCCATCAGACCACGGCGCTGCAATGGCTAGCAGCAGGCCTGTCAGTGTTCGCTCTGGTGGGTCTTGCTGCAGTGGTCAACGACAAGCCCTCTCGAATCCCCTGGGTATGTGCTCATGATCTCCCCCCCCCTAGTATATGTATGTTATATAACAAATACATATTCAGAGAAAATGTTGCCTTTTCCACCTCTCGTGTTGTACTACTCTCCTGCCCCCTCCATGCACCCTCCTGCCCTCTCCATGCACCCTCCTGGCTCCCTGTAAGCTTCCTTACGATGATATTTTCGAGTCAACGGAAAACACGTGCTTGCAATTCTCCCTCCCATTCCCCTGTCCACTCTACAGGCACGCCTCATGTTTCCTTCCAGCGACGGCCTTCCTGAAGGAAACATGAGACATGGAGATGCTGCCAGCCTGCCTGACCACACACTGTGTCCCTTGCAATGCATGTCCACCTCCCTTGCAATTCTCCCACTTACCCACCCACCCACCTGCTCGCCCTACAGGCTCCCCGTGAGTTCCCCATACGACGACGGTCTTCTCTCCCTAGTCCCTACCAGCCTGGCCACCCACCCTGTCCCTTGCATTTCTACCCCTCTTACACCTCCCCAACCCCAACCACCCACCTCCACCCACCCACCCTACAGGCGCCCCGTGAGTTCCCATACGATGATGGTCTTCCCGAGTGCACCAAGGACAAGCTGCCTGCTTGACTCTCAAGAGAACACCATCACCCGTAATTTCCACAATGCTGATCATGCAATCAGTCTATCCCATTATGCCTGCTACCGCCCGCCACCCCACCACCCGCCACTGCCATCAGCCCTTCTTGCCCTCACCACCTTGTGAAATAGTTCATGTTGATTGCCATTGCAAAGCAGCATTTTCTTCACATTCAACCAGGGTGCAGGGTTGACAATCGATTGAAGCACTTCAGCTACGTATGTTGCATGTAGTTGTCCATTTGTGTAAATGTTGAATCACAAGCCTGTAAGCAAAACCTTTTACCCTATGTGCACGGCAGCAGATTCGAATTGGACACGTGCCTTGTGCTCCTTTCAAAATGCACAAGGAAAACAAAATACATCTAAATAACACAACTACCAGCAACCTTCAATGATGCCACTGAACAAGGCAAAGGGCGTCCTTACGCCTCAAAAGGGGCGAAAGCGACCACTGAGTTGTGACCTCCAAAGCCGAATGAGTTGGAGATGCCTGAAACCCCAAGTCGTTAGCAGGGTGGCAGAGAGGGAGACAGCACACAGTGGGGAGAGGAAAAGGTGGAGAGGTTGGGGGAAGGGGAGGGGGGAAGTTACACAGGGTGACAGGGTTGAAGTTGGGGGTTAAGGGTTGGAGTCATTCTTACCCGTAACAGTATTTACCTAGTGTTAACAAGGTTCCGAGTCCCGACAATGCAACCTGGTGGATCAAACTCACCAATCTTTACAGCGTCAGGCATGCGCAATGCAAGCACGGTTACGTACCAACGTGGACTATATGCTCCTTCTTGACATTTGGCACCGTGTCGAAGGTGACCGACTCCTCCAGGTGGTAATTCACAGCAGACTCATCAACTCACATGTGTGCATACCAGCTCACCAAGGTTAGGGTACGTTCTTGGCCTGTGTCAAGTTTCCTGACACAAGGCTTTCGACGGCTCCGATCGTTCCACGTCATCATCAATCAAATCCAAACCCTTCACAGCTTCATGTCAGCCTGCCTGACACAGGCAAGAAGGTTTCCTTAATCTCAACTCACCAACGTTGACTTTATGCTCCTTCTTGACATTTGGCACCGTATCGAAGGTCACTGACTCCTCCAGATTCTGTTATAGAAAACACACACACACAAAAAACAAACATACATACATACGGTAAGAAGGAATGGGAACTTGTGTAAGACAAACATTCATGCAAGACAAACGATCCAACAACGCACAAACTGGTTGATGGTGGGGTACATCCATGGTGACTTGCTAAACTAGGAAAAAAAACTGTTGAGACTTCTCAAAGGTCGAATACATGGTGACTCTCCAATCAACTGGAAAATACTCACAACTTGGTCATGCGAATTGGTCAATGGTGGTGGGTTCAATGAGGCTCAAAGGACTCACGAATTGGTTGATGGTGGGGTGCAGCCATCCCGTCTCAATCGCCTTGATCACTGCAATCGCCTCCAGCCCTCCAGCAGCACCCAGACAGTGACCAATCATGGACTGCCACGTGTACAGGGAATCAGAGCGGGAAAGGGCGTAAGTAAATCACAGGCCAGCTCATTGGCCCTTGTATCAGACAGGCAAAGTACACTCAGACAAATGCTAGAAGGCAAAGTCGCTATACGATGACTGGCAATGCAATAAAATACACCATGTAGAATGCTTCATTAAGCATACTCCCTACTGACCTTGGTGCCGCTGAGCTTGATCTCGCTGGTATCCTTGAAAACCTGCTTGATCGCAGTATCAGCGCCATCTATGTTTATACTCGCTATGGAGTGCTCCACTACTCACCTTGGTGCCGTTGAGCTTGATCTCGCTGGTATCCTTGAACACCTGCTTGATCGCAGTATCAGCACCATCTATGTTTATACTCGCTATGGAGTGCTCCACTACTCACCTTGGTGCCGTTGAGCTTGATCTCGCTGGTATCCTTGAACACCTGCTTGATCGCATTCACCTCCGCCACATCTCCCACGATGGTGGACGTGGCGTGGCAGTTGATGTAGTTCACCTGGAGGCACAGAGACGGGAGGAAGGAAGAGGGGGGAAGAAGACGGAAGGAAGTGGGAGAGTGGGGACAGGATGAGGGAGGAGTCTCGCCTTGTGGCGTGGCGATTGATTCATTTCACCTGGGCACATGAGGGGAGGAACGGGGAGAGGGGGAGGAGAAGCGGGAGGGGGTTGGATGGTTTCATGAGCGTGGTTTGAGCTGGTTTTTGAGATTTCTCAGAAACCAGCTCCTATCATATGGATGGTTTCATGAGCGTGGTTTTGGAGGCACTTCAACACAACAATGGTGGCGATGTAGTTCACTTGGGAAGAAAGGAAGAAGAGAAGACACATGAGAGAGAACCCTCCTCTGGAGAGAACCCCCCATCAGCAAGACATGCAGGTGGACACGCCCAGCCCGTCAAGAGGAGAGACAGGCCATTGACAAGCACAAGGGGAAGAGGGGCGGGGCCCTACTTCCTTCGGGGAAACAGCCCTATCAGCAAGAGCGTTGAGGATGCAGGTGGACACGCCAAGGGCAAGAGAAAATCAGCACAGGAGGGGGCAAGTTGGGAGGAAGGCGTGAGGAGGAGAAGGGAGGGGAGGGGCAGGGCCCTACCTCCTCTGGGGAGACACCCCTGTCCGCACAGCGTTGAGGATGCAGGTGGACACGCCCAGGCCGTAAAGGGGAGATAAGCACAGCGAGTCGTGCGACAGGTGGGGAGTAAAAGGGGTCGAGGGAAGGGAAGGTTTACCTCCTCTGGAGAAACACCGCCGTCAGCCAGCGCGTTGAGGATGCAGGTGGACACGCCCAGCCCGTCAAGAGGAGAGACAATCCATTGATAAGCACAAGGGGAAGAGGGGCGGGACCCTACCTCCTCCGGAGAAACACCCCCATCTGCCAGCGCGTTGAGGATGCAGGTGGACACGCCCAGCCCGTCCTCACGCGGGTCGGTCATGTGGTGAGCATCGCACGTCACTGCCCCCCCCAGGTATTCTGCGTAGATGTGTGCTCCGCGCTTCTGGGCGCTCTCCAGACTCTCCATCACCTGGCAAGTGGGAAGGGGGGTTGGGGGGGGGAGGAGGGGTGGTGCACAGGGCATAGGTCAGTGACTCACTGCCCCCCCCAGGTACTCCGCGTAGATGTGTGCTCCACGCTTCTGGGCGCTCTCCAGACGCTTTAGGGGAAGGGCTGTCATGTTCAGGGGAAGAGAAGGATGGGGTTGTGAGGACGGGAGGGTGGAGTTGGGGAGCAGGAGAGAGCCCCCCAACACCGCCAGCTAAACTTTTCGGTAACTCTTCAAGCATACACCACCACGTCAGACCCACCAGCACAGCAGAGCCAGACCCAAAAAAACTACCCGCCCGCCACACCCACCAGCACGCCAGAGCCCTCGCCCATAACGAAGCCCTCGCGCTGCTTGTCCCACGGATGAGACGCCCAACCCACCAGAGAGCATACCAGCCCACCACACCCACCCACCACAACCACACAGCACCCACCAGCACGCCGGAGCCCTCGCCCATGACGAAGCCCTCGCGCTGCTTGTCCCACGGATGAGACGCCCAACCCACCAGAGAGCCCACTAGAGAGCCTACCAATAAGCCACACCCACCAGCCCCCCCTCCCAACGCACCAGCACACCAGAGCCCTCGCCCATGACGAAGCCCTCGCGCTGCTTGTCCCACGGCCGCGACGCCGTCTGCGGGGAGTCGTTGCGCTGGGAGAGCGCGCGGCACGCCACGAACCCGCCCAGTCCGATGGGGATGATGGCTGCCTCAGTCCCGCCCGCCACGATAATGTCCGCCTCGCCCCTGAGGAGAGAAAAGAGGGGGGGGGGGGGGGGGGGGGGGGGGGGAGTGAAGGGGGGGGAGGGGGGGAATGGGGTGCGGGGAGGGAGGAGTTGGCACAAGAGGAAACGCCGATTTGTTAGACAATTCAACCACCCGCCCAGCCCGATGGGGATGATGGCGGCTTCAGTCCCGCCTGCTACTATGATGTCCGCCTCGCCCCTGAGGAGATGGGGGAGAGAGGGCGGAGGTGGAGGAGGGTACGGAAAGGGGACGGGGGGGTGAAGAGAGCTGAGGGGGAAGAGAGGGGTGGGAGATGTAAGAATTTTCGGGGAAGGGAGTGGGGAAAGAGAGGAAGGGGTGATGGACTCAACAATCAGCCCCGATGGGGATGATGGCGGCTTCCGTGACGCCTACCACTATAAAGTCCGCCTCGAAAAAGCTGCCATCATCCCCAATAAAAAGGTGGGAATCAAGTGTGGGCGAGGGAGGGGGGGGGGGGGTGGATGCGCGGCGCTTAAAGTTCAGGCCTAAACCCTGAAACCTCGTTAGCGACACAGCAACCAGTGGTCATTACAAACACCAGTTACCGAAATACCTACGGATGTGATTCGCGGCGGCGTAGAAGAAGTAGTTGGCGGTGGCGCAGGCAGTCGAGATGGAGCAGTTGGGCCCCATAAGATCAGTTACCAGAGTAACCGCACTGTACCCCTGAATACCAATTACTGCTTAGTTACTGCACGCACCTGCGGATGTGGTTGGCAGCGGCATAGAAGCAGTAGTTAGCCGTCGCACAGGCGGTGGAGATGGAGTAGTTGGGGCCCATGAGGCCGAGCTCGATGGCGAGCAGCGCGGAGCCCATGTTGGTGATGGCGTAGGGGATGAAGAAGGGCGTGATGCGCTTGTGCCCCTTCTCCAACAGCGCCTTCACGCCGTCCGAATACACCGTCAGCCCGCCCATGCCCGACCCGATGATCACGCCCACCCTCTGCTTGTCCACCTGCCAGAAGAAGAGATGGGGGCGACGCGGAGGGAATCCGAAGAGGGGTTTCGAAGCTGGTGTGGATTGACTCTTGGGTCGACTCAAAGGTCGTCCGAGTACACCGTCAGCCCGCCCATGCCCGAACCGATGATGCAAGGACGGTCAGCTCTGATTTATAATATATTATTCCGAACGGCGCGGTCCACTCAACACTCTTCCACAGATTGTCAGTTCAAAAGGTAACGTGAAAGAAGATGCCAGCTCCCAATCAAATCAGCATCACCATGCAGCACCTTGCTCATGGCATACATATCCCCTCCGTACCGCGTCCACGTCATTCATTGCTTCACAATTTACTTTATCGATGCCATGTCCACGTCACTCCTACGTTTACGGCTGACCTTATCCATACGTACCACGTCCACGTCAATCCTTGTCACGGCTTACTTACCTTGTTAAGATCGTCTCCTCCGAGGCCGGCGTCGATCAGCGCCTTCTTTCCGCCGACGATGGCGTACCGCAGGCAGTCATCCAGTCGCCTGTCGTTCTTCCCATCGATCAGGCCCTCGTTATTGAAATTCCGGATTTGCGCGGCGAACTGCGTGGGGAACTTGGTGGCGTCGAAGCGGTCGATATAGTCCACCCCGCTAACCCCGGCGAGAAGCTGGTCGTAGTAGGTGTTCACGTCGTTGCCGAACACGGAGCAGAGGCCCATGCCCGTGATCACGACGCGCTTCTTCGGGTCGGTCTCCCGCTTCGGCGCTGCGGCCGCTGCAGCGCGAACGGCGGTGGTGGCTCTTCTTGCTGGAAGGGAGGATTAGACGAAGCAGAATAATAATATGCCTGATAGCTAAAATAGAAAAACAAAACAAGTCCTAAGCAGATTGGAAATCAGTAATCACAGAACGAGCCAAAGGGAATCAAATCCGGCATGGTGGCTATCCGGATTACGAAATTTGGAGTCGAGCGATGCGAAGACAGTAACCGTACACCCCTGCTTCAAGCATCAACTGGCATCACACGTCTCTTGATGCTAACCTACAGTTAATAAGCTCCACGGCGACCACATCGTTCAACGATCGCCTACCTTGCCTCTTGACGGAGACCACATCCTTCTGACGGAGCGCGCACCCCAGAAGGTCGGATTGCCTCAAGCTGGCTGACGTCTCTGCAGCCAGAGAGCAGCTCTGGACGGAGGTGCTTAGCCCTGAACCAAGGCAGGTGGCCATGTCTGCGTGGTATATTTCACAAGCTTAGTGGTATCTAGCAGACAATTGACCAGAAGAAGTTGGATCAGGAATCTAGATAAAAAATACTCCTCAATTTGGCAAGAGCAAAGGGAACTTCTGGAAGGAAGAGCAGAGGAACATTGATGAGCACTTTGATCAGGGAGACCAAGGGCCTGACGGGAATGCAACAGTTGGACAAGACGGGAGAAAATGGTTAACCCAAGGTTTTACGAGCGACCTTGCCGAAGGGGGTTAATTCCCAAATGAGACTGGTTGTAAATACTTGCGTTGTGTCCACGCTTCTGTTTCATTCACCTCGCATACCATGTTTCCTTCCCACATCCGAAACAAGGTCCCAATCGCAACTGCCCAAAGGAGCGATAAAAAACGGCAATCTCGATAAATGCGAATCGCGGGCAGCTTGTTCAGAATATTTTTTCGTCAACCCCTCATCCACAGAATTGCTGTCGCATGACTGAAGGTGGATGGTTCACAACGGTGATACATTTTCGTGAGACCTGCTGGTTACCGAATTCGACTCCCGAAGCCTTGGAAGCTCATCCACTTCGTGGCGCACATTTCGCAAATGCTGACGGAAGCAGAAGGGAAGGCCATACACGTCAGGGGATGTCTGATCGCGGACACGTCAGGATCAGCACTGGACTTTGCGCTGGGACAGGTGTCAAAAGAGAGTCACAAGGTGACACAGACGAGAGTTGAGATGGGAACGCCAAATATGGTCCAGCACAGTTCTGGGCATAATTGTGCAAATTACTGAGCTCTTATGGTTATGCGGAGTATGGTGCCGTAAGTACATTCAAATGACAACTCCAGTGCCTTCAGATGTGGTGTGCGCTTGTCTCATATCGAAACACCACGCTCGTGTTCGACTCGACAATTCCGTTCGAGAATGCGAGGAACTGCTTCGCGATGGTTCTCGCACATCGTTTCGCCAGTGCGTCTTTCTGCTTGCGACAGCACTCTATATTCGCCAAGTAATGTAACTTCGCCTAGAACGTCATCTTCAAGGGCGCTGCGGCTCCTTCCGTTGGGATGACTTGCAGAGGTTGTCGTTGCCGCAGAGCTGCGGGAACGGAATTCCTCCCTCCAACCCAGAGTTTCACCCGTCAACTACAGAATCCGGATCCCCGTAACAGCAAATTGATGTGGCGCACTGCAGCTCTGAATTTCCAAATCTCTCCTGGTCGTTCTCAATCCCTCTCAATCCTTCTGAATATTTCAAATATCCTCCATACCAACCATTCCCCCCTTATCCTCCCCTCCTCCACTCTCTGCTCATTCTTGTCAGGAGCTTGTTGTTTTGTTCAGTGGCTAAGCTTGGAGGTGCCAAGCTGGTTGACGTGACTGCAGACTGAACTAGGTCATATCCTAAACACGGACTTCCTACGTCGTGCTTACAGAACGGAACACGGATTTTCACGATCGCCAGTGGTTTCGCGATGATAGCACAACGAGGCGTTTTCGAGCCAGATTGCAGGATGATGGGACGGTTGCTCGCAGGTAGAGCGAGAGTGACGGAAGTAACACGCAATGCTTTTCGCATCAATCCATATCGATTCTTATGGAACAATCTTCACGTGAAGGATGACCTGACGGAAGGCCATGATGACCCTGGAGATCCACTATGGCGTTCCGTCAAGCGGAATCTCGCGATCAGAATTTCCAGGATGACGTGACGGACGCCGTTCCGTTCTGTTTGTCATCTGAATCCCCTGCTCCTGTCACGGAGCCGCGCTATGGGTACTGTCGAAAGAGGAAGCTTGCTGGTCTGAAGTACGTCTCTCAAGTACTACAAAATGACGAATCAGTCATTTTTCAGTTCAGATCAGCTCAGCTTGCATTAGAACCAAAGAGCATCCTGCGTAAGCTTAGCGTTCGAGCTTAACATCATTCAGAGTGAGCTCTTGGTCTCAAAGGACAGCCATGGCCACCGCTGCATCGCTTAACCTGCGCCTGCGCCTCGTCTGGCTGTTTCCAACGGTCATATTCGCGCAGATTCTCTCCGGTAAGCCTGATTGAGCTCCGGTAAGACTGATTCAGTTCAGCTTACCTGTCAATACGTCATTTGAGAATGAACTATGCTTGAAATTTGATTATCTTCTGACGCTTAATCTCCCGCCTTTGTAAATCTGCTCCATGGTTATCACCGTATACGAGCGTTCAAGTCACATTATCACTTACTTTCCCCGTTGGCGTGTCTGACAGGCACATCTCTGGCAGTGGCATCTCAGGACAAGCAGGCAGGGACAGCTGGCACAACAAGTGAAGCCGCAGTTTCTGAAGCTGCAAGAGACGCCATGGGAACCCCGGAGCTCGTTTTCAGGCATCGCAGCCTGCTCAGCTCCTCCACACCACAGCCCTTGCCCTTGCCCGTTGACGCCCTCACCTCTCTGCCGACTTCCACCAGCCTGCTCAGCTCCTCCACCCCACAGCTCTTGCCTGTTGATCCCCTCAACTCTCTGCAAACCCCCACCAGCTTTGGTGGGAATGATGATGGGGTCGGTGGCGATGACGGTGTTGATGGCATCTGGGCGCAGCTGGCTTCGTGGCTCCACAGTCTAGGTAATGATGGTGGGAATGGCGGTGATGGGGGCAACGGCGGTGATGGTGGGGACGGTGGCAATGGCAACGGCTGCTGCTGCTGCTGCTGCTGCTCCGGCAACGGCAACGGTAATGGCAACGGCAGTCGCATTGCCAATGTCAACGGTAATGGCAATGGCAATGGCGACGGAAGCGGCAACGGCAATGGTGATGGCTGCTGCTGCTGCTGCTGCTGCTGCGGTAATGGCAACGGCAACGGCTTTGGCAACGGGAATGGCAATGGCAACGGGAATAGCAACGGGAATGGCAACGGGAATGGCAACGGCAATGGCAATAGCAATGGCTGCTGCTGCAACGGGAACGGGAACGGCAATGGGAACGGCAACGGTAATGGCAATGGAAATGGCTGCTGCTGCAATGGCAATGGCAACGGGAACGGGAACGGGAACGGCAACGGCAACGGGAATGGCAACGGCAATGGCTGCTGCTGCAACGGCAACGGCAACATGAATGGCAACGGTAACAGCAACGGGAACGGGAATGGCAACGGCAGTGGCTGCTGCTGCAATGGCAACGGCAACGGGAATGGCAATGGTAACGGCAATGGCTGCTGCTGCAACGGCAACGGCAACGGGAACGGGAACGGTAACGGCAACGGCAACGGCTGCGGGAATGGGAACGGGAATGGCAACGGTAACGGCAATGGCTGCTGCTGCAACGGCAACGGCAACGGGAATGGGAACGGGAATGGCAACGGTAACGGCAATGGCTGCTGCTGCAATGGCAACGGTAACGGTAACGGCAACGGGAACGGCAATGGCAACGGCAATGGCAACGGCAATGGCTGCTGCTGCAACGGCAACGGTAACGGGAATGGCAACGGCAATGGCTGCTGCTGCAACGGCAACGGTAACGGTAACGGCAACGGGAACGGTAACGGTAACGGGAATGGCAACGGCAATGGGAATGGCAACGGGAATGGCAACGGCAACGGCAGAGGTAATGGCTTCTGCTGTTGCTGCTGCTGCTGTGACGGCAACGGGAACGGGAACGGGAACGGGAACGGCAACGGCAACGGGAATGGCAATCGCAATGGAAATGGAAATGGCAACGGTAATGGAAACGGCAATGGTAACGGCAATGGTAACGGTGATGGGAACGGCAACGGCAATGGCTGCTGCTGGTGTTGCTGTGGCAACGGCAATGGCAACGGTAACGGTAACGGTAGCAACAATGTGTATCTTAGTGGCAACGGAAATGGCAGTGGTAATGGCAATGAAAATGGCAACGGCACCGGAAATGGCAATAGCAACAGCAATGGCTGTGGCTGCTGCTGCTGCTGCGGTAACGACAATGGCAATGGCAACGGCAACGGAAATGGGAACGGTAGCGGCAATGGCTGCTGCAACGGCAACGGTAACGGCAATGGGAATGGCAATGGTAATGGAAACAGCAACAGCAGCAGGGCTAGCCGTGCCGGTCGTGCCAGCAGGGCCAGCAGGGTCAGCAGGGTCAGCAGGGCCAGCAGGGCCAGCAGGGCCAGCAGGGTCAGCAATGCACGTGCCAACCGCCTCACTTGACAAGGAAATTTGCTCGGACTGCTTGTGGTTTCGTCTTGTTTCTTCTCACCATATGATGACGAGTTCATGCATCACAGCAAAAAGGAATTTGTTCTCCACGTGCATATAATGAAGAGTTCATGCATCACAGCAAAAAGGAATTTGTTTCTGTTTTCTGTTTTCCAGGCACTCAGGTTTCTTTGTGCACTCACTCAGCTCTAAACATCTGTCGGGGGGATAATGGTGCACCTCGCACTCTGGAGGGTCATGTTGGGTGTGCTTGGGTTGACTGCACAAGATAGGCTGCCTCGCTGTTGGACGGATGACCCTTTCTCCCTAGTTCCTGTCAATGGCTTCTCCCCTGCCCTGTCCTGCCTTGTCCTGTCCTGCCCTACCCTGCCCTACCCTGTCATGCCCTGCCCTGCCCTGTCATGCCCTGCCCTGCCCTGTCATGCCCTGCCCTGCCCTGTCATGCCCTGCCCTGCCCTGTCATGCCCTGCCCTGCCCTGTCATGCCCTGCCCTGCCCTGTCATGCCCTGCCCTGCCCTGTCATGCCCTGCCCTGCCCTGCCATGTCCTGCCCTGCCCTGTCCTGCCCTGCCCTGCCCTGTCCTGCCCTGCCCTGCCCTGCCCTGCCCTGCCCTGCCATGTCCTGCCCTGCCCTGTCCTGCCCTGCCCTGCCCTGTCCTGCCCTGCCCTGTCCTGCCCTGCCCTGGCTGAGGGCATGGCAGCAGAGCTGGGAAGCATGCAGGCCGCACTGCTGCTGGGTTGTGCCCTGTTCTATGGCCAAGTGAGTTCAAAAAGTTGGCTTGAGAAGACCTCTGTCTCACTCGCTGTTGCTCACACACTGTTGCTCACTCACTGTTGCTCACACACTGTTGCTCACACGCTGTTGCTCACACACTGTTGCTCACACACTGTTGCTCACACGCTGTTGCTCACACGCTGTTGCTCACACACTGTTGCTCACACACTGTTGCTCATGCATAGAGGGAGCAGCCTCAGCAGCAGCAAAGCAGGGCAGCGGGTTCAGCCTGGGGTCCATGCTCGAGCATGGCATGGTGCTGCCGTGGGACCTCCATCTAGCCAAGCGGTTCTATGGCCAGGTATGGGCAGGTTGGGGTAGTGTGGATGGGTGGAAACAAGGAGAAGGGCAGTGCACACGCCATGTTCAAGCTGGGGTTTATGCACGAGCATGGCTTGGATGCCCTGGGCAGGTATGAACCTGCACTTGGCTAAAGAACTTGGCTAAACGATTCTTTGACCAGGTATGGGCAGGTGTGGATTGGTATGGGCAGGTATGGGCAGGTGTGGGAAGGTGTGGACAGGTATGGGCAGGTGTGGGAAGGTGTGGACAGGTATGGGCAGTTGTGGACAGGTATGGGTCAGGTGTGGTCTGGTAGGGGTCAGGTATGGGCCAGGTGTGGGCAGGGATGGCCAGATGTGGCTGGGTACGGAAGGGTGGGAAGATGGGATGGGTGGAAGCAAGGAGAAGGGCAGTGCACACGCCATGTTCAGCCTGGGGTTCATGAGGTGACTTCTGAGTCTACTCAAAAGGTTCATGAGGTGACTTGTGAGTCTACTCAAAAGGTTCATGCACGAGCATGGGGCATGGGGCTGCCCAGGGACCTGCATCTAGCCAAACGCTTCTACGACCAGGTGTGGGCTGGTATGGATAGGTGTGGGCTGCTTTGAATAGGTGTGGGCTGGTATGAATAGGTGTGGGCTGGTATGAATAGGTGTGGGCTGGTATGAATAGGTGTGGGCTGGTATGAATAGGTGTGGGCTGGTATGAATAGGTGTGGGCTGGTATGAATAGGTGTGGGCTGGTATGAATAGGTGTGGGCTGGTTTGAATAGGTGTGGGCTGGTATGAATAGGTGTGGGCTGGTATGAATAGGTGTGGGCTAGTATGAATAGGTGTGGGCTGGTATGGCTGGGGCTGGAGACATGGTGTGGGTGGGGACATGGTATGGGTTGGAGGGGCAGTGCACACTCCATGTCCAACCTGGGGTTCAATCACAAGCATGGCATGGGACTTGCATCAAGCCAAACGATTCTATGACCAGGTATGGGCAGGTATGGGCAGGTGTGGGCAGGTGTGGGCGGGTGTTGACAGGTGTGGACAGGTGTGGGCAGGTGTGGGCAGGTGTGGGCGGGTGTGGGCAGGTGTGGGCAGGTGTGGGCGGGTGTGGGCAGGTACGTGTGGGTGTGGTTGTGTGACCAGGTATGGTGGAGATCGAGTCGTATGGGATGCTGGCCGGGAAGGGAACATGGTTTGTTTTCCCCGAAGTTCTTTCCATAAACTTGTATTTATGAATTCTTTTTCCATGAAGCCTTCCCCTCGTTTTGCGTAGTACCCATCTTAAATATATCTCCCACCCCCCACCCCCCCCACACCATGCATGCCCACATCCCCAGGTGCTAGACGCCTTCCCCCAGGCCGGTGGGATTCGTAACCTTCCCCCAGGCCGGTGGGATTCGTAACCTTCCCCCAGGCCGGTGGGATTCGTAACCTTCCCCCAGGCAGTGGGGCCGGTGAGAATCTTAACCTTCCCCCAGGCAGTGGGGCCGGTGAGAATCGCTCTCTTCGGCCTCTGTTGGAGCATGCAGTTTGGCCACTACCCTCTTGCGGTGAGTCTGCTTTGAAGATACGTGGGCTTTAAATCTGTGCCATAAGGCCTGTCGGCACAACCGGGTTGGCCTCTGGCTGCGCATGCAGTATGGGCACTACCCTCTTCTGGTGAGTCTGCCTTACAAATACCGGTAGGTGGGCTTAGATTTACCGCTGGTAGGCTTGGGCATGACCCGGTCGGCCTCTGACTGCGCATGCAGTACGGTCATTACCCTCATGTGGTGTGTCTGCTTTGAAGATAGATGGGCTTTAAATCATTGTTATAAGGCTCGTAGGCACGACAGGGAAGCCCTCTGGCTGCACATGCAGTACGGACATTACCCTCTTCTGGTGAGTCTGCTATGAACAGGTGGGCTTTATACAAGCCTCACTACTTGTGGTGGTGCGATAAATGAGGGCTTGAGGGCAAGGCCTGGCTGGGCTCTCACTTACCTTCTCTGGTGAGTACCAATGTAATGCTTCAAATAGTACGCATTACCTTTGCTGTGACATACAAGCCTTTCTCTGCGCCCTCTGTTCACTCCTACTGTACCTTTTTTTCCTGTCCTTCCTTTCCCTTCTCGTCCCCCCCTTCCCGTCTCTCGCTCCCCTTCCTTCCCTGACCGTCTCCCCCGTAACTTCTCCCTCTCCCTCGCTCCCCCTCCCTCTTCCCCTTCTACCCCGCAACTCCTCCAGTCCAAGGCACTGGATTGGCTGCCTGAGATCGGCCCGGCCACGGCGGGAGCATTGAAGACGCCCTGAGGGATGACACCAACGCATACATCGCCTCCCTCCTCGCTCTCCTGCTCGCCGTTCTCTTCCTGTGCTCCCCCCTCCCTTCCCTCTTCAATCGACTTCCCCTCTCCCCCTTCTCCCCCTTCCCGTTTCCCCTGCCGTATCCCCCTTCTCATCTTCTTCCCTCCATGTCATCCTTCCCCTCTTCCCCTCCCCTGCAATCTCTCCAGTCCAAGGCACTGGATGTGTTGCCTGAGATTGGCCCAGCCACGGCGGGACCATTGAAGGCGGCCCTGAGGGACGATACCAACGTCTACATCGCTTCTCTCCTCGCTCTCCTCCTTGCTGTTCTCTTCCTCCGCTCCCAACGCCGCCAGAAACGAGTGGTGCAGGCGTTATTGGAAGGGGAATTGGAGTGTGTGATAGAAGCATACTCAGCGTTTTTATTATGTTGTGATGATATTGAACGGGTGCGTCTATTGCAGCTCTGAAAGCTTGTTTAGCTTGTTTGCTTGCCATCGCATCTTGTGCTTTATATGGCGCCTGCAACTAGCAGAGAGTCCATGTGCGCGGTTTGCAACGAAGCCCATGTGGTCGTGCACATCACCTTGTGATTACATCCATTATTGATAGAGTGCATATTATTATGCCTAGCCTAATCACAGTTGTACCCCCCGAGTGCGTTGGACACATATCGAAACACCCGGCATTTTTCTGTTGGCATTTCCGTGTGAGGATGCGCGAGTGGGCTTCGCGAGAAATTTCGAGATGCTCGCACATAATTTCGCTATTGCGTCCTTGAGCTTGCGACAGCACTCCGGATTTCGCCAAGGTTTGCAACCTCGAGGGCGCTGCGGCTCCTTCAATTCTCTGACTCTTCGTTGCAGATTTGCGCGCGAACTGAATTTCCCCATTCAGCGGGGAGTCCCTCCTGTCACCTCCAGGTCTCCATCCCCTCCTCAACTTTCTCAAACCCTCTCAGTCCATCTCAAACCCTCTCAGTCTCTCTTATATCCTCCATACCCAACCCTTCCTCCCTTTTCCTACCCTCCACTTTCCTCTGCTCACATTCTTGTCGCCTGCTTTCTGCTTTGTTGCGAGGCATAGTTAGGATGAGCCAAGCTGGTTGACGTGACTACAGCCTGAACTAGGTCATATCCTAGACACGGACTTCGTACGGAGCGCTTACGGAGCGCAACAAGGACTGTTTCTCGATCTCCAGTGGTTTCGCGGTGCTAGCACAACCTGACTCTGTTGATAGACAAGAGCCGGTTTTCAGGAGGATGGGACGTTTGCTCGCAAGTAGAGCAAGAGTGACGGAAGTAACATCATGGGAAGCGAAGCATGTCGCATCAATACGCTTCGGTTCCTTCAAAGCAAATCCTGCTCCACGAGACGGATGACGTGACGGGACGCCACGATGCGCGGAAATCCGCCATGGCGTCCCGTCAAGCAGAATATTGCGACCAGATTTCCCAGGATGACGTGACGGACGCCGTGCCGTTCTGTTTGTCCTCTGAATCCCTGCTTCTGTCACGGAACGCGCTATAGGAACACTCGAAAGAGGAATCCTGATGGTTCGAAGTAGGTCTCTCAAGTACTACAAATTGACGGAATGCGTCATTTTTCATTTCAGATCAGCTCAGCTCAGCTCAGCTTGCATTAGAACCGAAGAGCAAGCTGCGTAAACTTGGCATTTGAGCTTAACATCATTCTGAGCGAGCTCCTGGTTTCATAGAACAGCCATGGCTCCCGCTGCATCGCTCAACCTGCGCCTGCGCCTCGTCTGGCTGTTTCCAACGGTCGTCGTCGCGCTGATTCTTTCTGGTGAGTCGGATTCAGAAGAGCTTATTTCTCCGTACGTCATCCTGGATTATCGTCAAGCTTGAATTCCGTTATAGCTTCTAAAGCTTTATCACACGTGCTTCTTAACCTTTGAAATCTGTTGCTTGGTTATCATCTTATATCACCCGCCTAAGTCACCTGGACACTTTGTTCCCCCCGGCGTCTCTACCAGGCACATCTCTGGCCGTGGCATCTCATGACAAGCTGGCGGGGACAGCTGGAACAACAAGTGAAGCTGCAAGCGACGCCGTGGGAACCCCGTCTCTCGTTTTTAGGCATCGCAGCCTGCTCAGCTCTTCCTCACCACAGCCCTTGCCCGTTGATCCCCTCGATTCTCAGCTGACTTCCACCAGCTTTGGTGGGAATGATGATGGGGACGGTGGGGATGTCGATGGGGATGGCGGTTTTGTTGTCACCTGGGCGCAGCTGGCCTCCTGGATTCGCAGTCTAGGCGGTGATGGTGGTAATGGCGGTGATGGGGGCAATGGCAGTGATGGGGGCAATGGCAGTGATGGGGGCAATGGCGGTGATGGGGGGAATGGCGGTGATGGGGGCAATGGAGGTGATGGGGGCAATGGCGGTGATGGTGAGGACGGTGGCAATGGCAACGGCTGCTGCTGCTGCTGCTGCTGCTGCTCCAGCAATGGCAACGGTAATGGCAATGGCAGTCGAATTGCCACCAGGAACGAAAATGGCAACGGCAATGGTAACGGCAGTGGCAACGGTAACAGTAACGGCAACGGCAATGGTAACGGCGACGGAAATGGCAACGGAAATGGCAACGGGAATGGTGATGGCAATGGCAATGGGTGCTGTTGCTGCTGCGGCAACGGAAACGGCAATGGAAATGGCAACGGAAATGGCAACGGTAACGGCAACGGCAACGGCAATGGCTGCAACGGCAACGGTAGCGGCAATGGCAACGCCAATGGCTGCTGCTGCAACGGCAACGGTAACGGCAATGTGAACAGCAACGGTAACGGCGACGGAAATGGCGATGGCAATGGCAATGGGAACGGTGATAACAATGGCTCCTGCTGCTGCTGCTGCTGCGGTAACAGCAACGGCAACGGAAACTGCAACGGCAATGGCTGCTGCTGCAACGGCAACGGTAACGGTAACGGCAACGGTAACGGGAACGGCAATGGCTGCTGCTGCAACGGCAACGGTAACGGCAACGGAAATGGCAACGGAAATGGCGACGGCAACGGCAATGGGAACGGCAACGGAAATGGCAACGGAAATGGCGACGGCAACGGCAATGGGAACGGTGATGGCAATGGCAATGGCTGCTGCTGCTGCTGCTGCTGCGGTAACGGTAACGGCAAAGGAAACGGCGACGGCGAGGGCAACGGAAATGGAAACGGAAATGGGAACGGCAATGGGAACGGCAACGGCAATGGCTGCTGCTGCAACGGCAACGGAAACGGCGAGGGCAACGGAAATGGCAACGGGAACGGTAACGGTAACGGCAACGGTAACGGGAACGGCAATGGCTGCTGCTGCAACGACAACGGTAACGGCAATGGGAACGGCAACGGCAATGGTAACGGCAACGGAAATGGTAACGGAAATGGCGACGGCAACGGCAATGGGAACAGTGATGGCAATGGCAATGGCTGCTGCTGCTGCGGTAACGGTAACGGCAACGGAAACGGCGACGGCGAGGGCAACGGAAATGGCAACGGAAATGGGAACGGCAATGGGAACGGCAACAGCAATGGCTGCTGCGGCAACGGCAACGGAAACGGCGAGGGCAACGGAAATGGTAACGGTAACGGGAACGGTAACGGTAACGGCAACGGTAACGGGAACGGCAATGGCTGCTGCTGCAACGGCAACGGTAACGGCAACGGCAACGGCAACGGCAACGGCAACGGTAACGGCAACGGAAATGGCAACGGAAATGGCGACGGCAACGGCAATGGGAACGGTGATGGCAATGGCAATGGCTGCTGCTGCTGGTGCTGCTGCGGTAACGGTAACGGCAACGGAAACGGCGACGGCGAGGGCAACGGAAATGGCAACGGAAATGGGAACGGCAATGGGAACGGCAACGGCAATGGCTGCTGCTGCAACGGCAACGGAAACGGCAAGGGCAACGGAAATGGCAACGGGAACGGTAACGGTAACGGCAACGGTAACGGGAACGGCAACGGTAACGGGAACGGCAATGGCTGCTGCTGCAACGGCAACGGTAACGGCAATGGGAACGGCAATGGCAATGGTAACGGCAACGGAAATGGCAACGGAAATGGCGATGGCAACGGCAATGGGAACGGTGATGGCAATGGCTGCTGCTGCTGCGGTAACGGTAACGGCAACGAAAACGGCGACGGCGAGGGCAACGGAAATGGGAACGGCAATGGGAACGGCAACGGCAATGGCTGCTGCTGCAACGGCAACGGAAACGGCGAGGGCAACGGAAATGGCAACGGGAACGGTAACGGTAACGGCAACTGTAACGGGAACGGCAATGGCTGCTGCTGCAACGGCAACGGTAACGGCAATGGGAACGGCAACGGCAATGGTAACGGCAACGGAAATGGCAACGGAAATGGCGATGGCAACGGCAATGGGAACGGTGATGGCAATGGCTGCTGCTGCTGCTGCTGCGGTAACGGTAACGGCAACGAAAACGGCGACGGCGAGGGCAACGGAAATGGGAACGGCAATGGGAACGGCAACGGCAATGGCTGCTGCTGCAACGGCAACGGAAACGGCGAGGGCAACGGAAATGGCAACGGGAACGGTAACGGTAACGGCAACTGTAACGGGAACGGCAATGGCTGCTGCTGCAACGGCAACGGTAACGGCAATGGGAACGGCAACGGCAACGGCAATGGTAACGGCAACGGAAATGGCAACGGAAATGGCGACGGCAACGGCAATGGGAACGGTGATGGCAATGGCAATGGCTGCTGCTGCTGCTGCTGCGGTAACGGTAACGGCAACGGAAATGGCGACGGCGAGGGCAACGGAAATGGGAACGGCAATGGGAACGGCAACGGCAATGGCTGCTGCTGCAACGGCAACGGAAACGGCGAGGGCAACGGAAATGGCAACGGGAACGGTAACGGTAACGGCAACGGTAACGGGAACGGCAATGGCTGCTGCTGCAACGACAACGGTAACGGCAATGGGAACGGCAACGGCAATGGTAACGGCAACGGAAATGGTAACGGAAATGGCGACGGCAACGGCAATGGGAACAGTGATGGCAATGGCAATGGCTGCTGCTGCTGCTGCTGCTGCTGCGGTAACGGTAACGGCAACGGAAACGGCGACGGCGAGGGCAACGGAAATGGCAACGGAAATGGGAACGGCAATGGGAACGGCAACAGCAATGGCTGCTGCTGCAACGGCAACGGAAACGGCGAGGGCAACGGAAATGGTAACGGTAACGGGAACGGTAATGGTAACGGCAACGGTAACGGGAACGGCAATGGCTGCTGCTGCAACGGCAATGGTAACGGCAACGGCAACGGCAACGGCAATGGTAACGGCAACGGAAATGGCAACGGAAATGGCGACGGCAACGGCAATGGGAACGGTGATGGCAATGGCAATGGCTGCTGCTGCTGCTGCTGCTGCTGCTGCTGCTGCTGCTGCTGCTGCGGTAACGGTAACGGCAACGGAAACGGCG